TTTAGCCCAATCATTGTGGCTTGCTCCCTTAAATTTAGAGAAATCTTCTTCGATTGATCGGTAGGTTCTTCCATTCATTGCGTTTACCTGAGAATAATATGATATTGGGCTAGCTCTATCGATTCCCAGTTCGGAACAAAAAAATGTGAAAATTGTGACATGAAGTTTGATCATTTGTCGCTGTGCACATGTGCTGAGCAGCCAATGCGTACATTCCAATTATCGACCAATGCCTTATCTACTGTCTTTGCCTTTTGGGTTTTTAACTGGTACCGCTTCGTACCACTTTGAGAATTGGTCTCGATTAGAAGAATATAATCTAATCCATCTGACTGCGGTAGCGGTCCCATGATATCCAACGCTACCTGCCAAAATGGATGGCTCGGCTTCCATGTCTGCAGTGGATTTTTATGTTTCTGGCTAGGTTTCTACTTTGCTATGCATTTTTCACAGCTATTAACCCAATCTTTAAAGTCCCTACTCATTTCAGGCCAGTAAAATTTTTCTTGAGTACGCAGAAAAGTTTTTTTTTGTAACCAAAATCACCACAAGATTGACCAAAGTGACCAAAATGACCCTAACGTTATACATATCTTTATCATTCGGGTATCCCAGTATTGGTGTTTGCTGCAGTTTTTATTTCAGTTTCTTCAATGCTTCTTTGCAGCTTCATTAAGAAAGAATTTTTCGCTCTTGTTTAGAAGTTTGTAAAGTGGTTCCGTTGTCTTTCCAAACCCTTCAATAAACTTTCGGTAGAACCCAATGAGTCCTAATATCGCCCGCAGTTGTTTGATATCGTGAGAATCTTTTATGCGTTTGACTGCGTTTAATTTTTCCGGATCAACTTCTACACCGTTGTTCGACACAATATGTCCATGAAAATGAATTTTCTTTTGAATGAATCTGCATTTCGATGTTTTTGTTTTTAATCCAACTTCTTTCAGTCGACAGAGAATAAGTTCCAACCTCTCTAGATGTTCCTCAAATCCTCCACCGAAGATAATAATGTCGTCTAAGTACACCAGAGCAATTTCGTATGATAACCCACCTATTATTAACTCAATCAATTTCTAAAATGCTTCTGGCGCTGAAGCGAGACCCATCGATAGTTTATAGAGACCCTTTATAGAGACCCATCGGCGTTATAAAGCCAGTAAGCGTTTGCGAGTGTTCAATTAGCGCCATTTGAAAATAACCAGAAGTTAAATAAATGTTGGAAAAGAACATGCTACTATCCAATAAGTCAATGACATCACTTATTCTTGGTAGGTGCCAGCTTGTCTTTTTGATCTGATTGTTCAATCCTCTGTAATCAACTTCTAATCTGTGGGATCAGTCTTTTTTCTCGACAAGTATGGATGAGGCTACCCAATTCGAGTGAGCTGGTTCGAATAGGTCGCCTTTTTCTAAATGCTTCACGATCTTTTTCATGGCTTACCACATTTTAAAATTTATACTAAGGTATGCCCGCCGAGCTTTGAATCAGCGTTCAATTTTTTTAAGTCTGATTTTATTCAAAAACTTTCAGTCCGTTGAGCTGCGTCAAAAGACCCGGTTAGGTTTATCAATCATTATCTGTTTTTTTTTTCTTCAGATGATAATTATGCACCGTCCAGAGTAGCGAATTTGCCTACTTCAAAAGTCTCCTTATGCTGCGGTCGTTCCTTGCTACTAAGAGTACGTTTTCTTGAGTCTGATTTCTCAAATCGGTATAACGAACAATTTTGCTGTTATGGTATATGTTAATAGCTTCATTTCGCATGTTCAATACCTTCAGGTACTTTTTTCCTTGGTTAAAACTAACCAATGAATCAGCTACCAGTTTTCCTGTTTTATCTTGGAATTCCTGTATGCCTTCGATTAAACCTTCTGGGCTACTGAGGACGGTACCGTTTTCATTCTTGATGACGATTTCTATTACTTTTTTCTGTCTGCTGGGGATTCTTGCAGTCCTCTCTGCAATTGCAAAGGTTCGGACACTGGCCGTTGCTTGTGCTGATATAGTTAGTGCTGTCCGATGCTTCGTACTGAATGGCAATTGTTCGCCAGTGTTTAGAATACATTCTAGATCTATCATGAACTCCAAACCAAGAAGGTAGGGTAATCAATTATCCGCCGTTATTAAAAAATCTTGAGTGAACTCCACGGACTTTGGTTCATTTGGATTTTGATGTCGACACTGCCAATTATTTTCAACGACGAATCGTTAGCCGCTAACACCTTATTATTGGCAGCCTCTATGCTTTGCGGCTTTCCAAGCCGTTCATAGGTGTCGAAACTTATGAGCGAAATGCTACTCCCACTGTCTAACAGTCCTTTTACCAATTTCCCTTTCAATGAGAACACCACATTGAAACATTTTGTTTTGTTGGTGGAGCACACCCTGATTACGTTGGTTTTTTCCGTCCTTCTATTCCAAGGACAGTTTTACTCAATGGGGGTAAAATTTCTGCAAGTAAAACAATTACGGCAGTTCTTTGTCCACTAACAAACTTCGATTACGTGGGCAAAAGTGTCATTGAGCAAAGACCTGCCGTAACTATTTCACTTGTGGATCTCCCACACCAGGACCAAATACGCGCGAAAGAAATGACAACCCCACAACGGAAAACAACTATGACAAATGTCCTGCCCAAGCGTCGCGTCCTCCCCAGTGGCTGTTGTCTCTTCAACCGTCAGTGCTCCGGGCATTATAATTTTTACCAACTGAAATCTGTTGAACTAGTCTATTCACCGAGTCTATTAGGATTTCTGTTTCATCCCTCCGTATAGTTGCGATTCGTGGCGTTTGTTCTTCTTCCTCAATTTTGATTACGGCTTCCAGGTGAAGTGCCCGCTTTAAAAATTTCACGGTGTTCATCAGCTTGTCTCCAATTGTCTTTCGGAGTTCAAGTCTAACTTGGTTGTGGTGGATCCTTTTGAGAGAACTCAAAGCACTAAGTGATCCCGTATGTCCTGGGATTCGTCTGGGTACGCCTTCAGCTCCAATGGCTGTAAATTCCCTGTAAATCTCTCTTTTTTCATCCGCCTGCAACACTCGACGCGCTAGCCGTCTGCGGAAGATCAACGGTTTTTGTAAGATCACCGGTTTTTGGAAGATCACCGGTTCAGTGTAATGTCTTCGAAAAGCTTTAACGATCTCATCATAACTATTTCTAGTAGCCTCTCAAGATTTCTAGTAGAACGGTAAAATTCGATTGCGGATTTCTGCAATCTTAATGCGAAAAAAATCGGCTGTTCATCAGTTTTGGTTCCACTTACACTACCTTTCCAGTTTTGCAGTTTGGCTATTAGCTCAAAGTGTGTTAAGTAGCTTTGATGTAGTTGGAACCGGTGAATGACTCCGGCAATAACATCTTGGGTAACGAACTTGCCCTTGCCATTTTTGACTCCCAACCTACTCAATTATTTATCAAATAATCCATCTAATTGCAATTTTTCTAGGTCTTACCTGCTGATTTTAGCTTAAAATTACCGTTTCTGTCCCTCCAACTACAGTTTATCCGCTTTTATCTTAACAATTTTGTTTTTCAGCTCGATTTCCTTCAACCTTCCTTTAAATTTAGTCCAATTACTTTTTGCTTTGCAAGTATAATTGACAATTTACAACCCAAATCAGCAGAAAAGATTAAGACCGATTGATTTCCTGGTTTTCTCTATTAAATGTGATTTAAACGTGTTTCAATGTTTTATCTGATTTTTAATGTATTTCAGCTCGAGGAATTTTCAACAATTTTTTTGAAACAAATTTTGAAATTTTTTGAAACTGAGTTTTGGATTCAATCGAATTTTTAGATTTGGTGAATTTCTTCTGCATAAGTGGATACGCTCATTTTTTGTGAAAGAAAGCTATGATTCTTTGAAATGACAACTTTTTGATTTGTTGACCGTTTTCTGGAATTTTCTTGATAGCTGTCCTGCCAAATCTGATATCATAGGTTCAAGAAGAAGAAGAACTTGTATTTAAACTCGGTTTTTAACAACCAAATTTACAAATTTATAATCAAGCAGTTAGTGGTCGTAGTTTCTGAGTGCACTGTTCGGAAATATTGTCAAGTCTTTCTCAGTTTTACTCTTAGACGTCGCAGGGAGTGTGGGCCTTAAATTCTTTGAGCACTCGTTTCTTCTTGGAATGTTTTGGAATCGACACAACAGGCTGGCTGTTTAAAGCTAAAGTATATAATGTACTGCGCCCAGTTTTTATTTAAATAAACATGGTCTCTGAATATTGAAGGTACTTAGACCGTTTTTTGGACGTTATTTGACTACTCTGAACACCGTGCCAAGTCTCTGTTTATGTGTTCAAATTGTTCAATTGCGCAACCCAATTTGGGAATCTTCTCTACCTTTTTCGGCCACGATCTCCTTCTTGCTAAAAAAAGTTACGGAATTTGGAAAGTCAAATTTTTGAACTTGTGTTTTAGAAATTTTTTGAGTTTTCTTAAAAACTACCTTATCAAAATATAAGAAAAAAATTCTATCAAAAGAAACAGTTGCGCGATTTTTTCCTGCTAAAGCGGTTACTGCAAAAAAAAAGGTTATGTCATTCAAAAATTTCAAAAGTTTTCTCTCTGCTGACTTATTTTAGTAGAGAAACAACTAAGGTTTCGGGCCAAGTCCAATTTTCGAAACTACGAATGTCCAGTATCAGTATATCAAATTTAAAAAATTTCGAAGACATATCCCCAGCTTAAGCTGGGCCCTAGGTGTCCATCATCGACACATCCTGAAATTTGGTTTCACCTATTTTTTTAAAAACTTGTTTAATGTTTTTTTTTTGGACATGCTTTCATGATTGTGTTGTATCGCAAGTGGTGCAAAGCTTTGCTTCGCCTGTGTTGAATTGTGCTGGTATTGCCTGATCAGGTTGCACACTTCAATATTACCACCTGGTTGGGGTTATTTAAACTAGCATTTAAGAGCCGAAATGTTTTTGAAAAAAGCCTTCGTTCACCTCGTATGAGCTTAAACATTTTTATAGGCGTAATTGTCTTTGTTTCAGAAATTTTAGCAATGTCTAATAGAGGTAATAATCAAAGCAGAAACAAGTTCAACTTGAAAATTCAAGCTGTACCGCAATTGGATCCGATTCCGGACAAGCAGACAGCGACTGATGAAACTGAGTAAACATTCCATGATTCGTATTTTTAAATGAAATTCTAAATTAAGATTATAAACAATTGAGAATTATTTGTGGAGCTCAATCTCTTCAACTCAAGGGTGGCGAAAATGAGAAAAAAATATTCTTCGTATTTCAACTTACTTGAAACTATTGACTCCATATCATAGCCATTGTCTAATTTCAGCATGGCTGCAGTGCGAGAAAAACTCGCCGATCTGCAAATTTCGCCAACTGAACGAGAACAGTTAGAAGATTTTCTAAAACATAAAAAAGAGCTTCCTGTCCTGAGCAGCTCAGATTTAGAACAAATGTCTGTACTCGGGTCAGGGAACAGTGGAGTTGTCACGAAAGTCAAGCACACAAGGACGAATATAGTAATGGCTAGAAAGGTGTGTAATAAATGTCATGCATGTCAAAATCAAGAATGGACTTAACATCTCTATGAAGATCTTGAAGCAGGCATAACTCGGTTTTTGTTTTAATTTAAACGATAGTTACACACGCAAACGTTTGTTTTCGCCCACGAATCCACGTTTTTTTTACAATCAAAATCGCAAATTTACTTGCCACTAAATTGGCCTTTTTGCCCAGTTTTTTTTGTATGAAAGTGCATTTTATAAACATTTACATAAGCGGATATTTGGAAAAGCGAGTTAAGTTTCCATGGTGATAATGCTAGACTGGAAAGTCAAATGTTCATGAAAAGAATACGGTTGCTTTCTTATCGCGTTTTCGCAGAGCTACTTTTGAAGTTTTCAATAATTTCACTTGCGCGCAATAATTTCCAATTATTCAACAAGCCTTATTTATGACATTTAATCAGGAACTGGGCTTTTATCCCGTAAACAACTTCTCTTACAGGCGATAGGCCTCGGGATGAATCCCGGATGGACTATGTTTTCTTTTTCATCATGTATTTATGCATTTGTGTATGTATACCTTGTTTTATTCTGGAACCTCAATACCATTTAGGCATTTGGTCCAGAGGTAATGTGGCTCTGGAATATGTCTAAGAGTTCGAGTTCCGGTCGGACCCTTTTTTAAATAAGTGGAAGTATGTTTTTCGGAAAACATAAAAAATCGGAACATCATTTCTCTGCTTCAATTTTTTTATCATACGGCATGGAAGTTTATTGAAGCTTCATTTTTTATTTAAGCAATTTTTACTGTAATTGAAAGTCGGTCTGTAGTTTGTAAGCTTACCAACTTTGATTTTGTATAATCATCTTTTTTGTTTTTCTTTAATGGGTTTGGTTTATGCGATATCGATTTATTTACCTCGTTTTACGTCGTTTTAAATGTAAAAACAGATTATATATTTTTTGGGGCGTAAAAATTATTGCTCAAATTTTTCTATGAGATCATTTTCCTTTCTGCTCAATTGTTGTCTACCCAAGTTTTGTCGGCTTATTTGCCACTCGGAAAATGATTTTGAAAGCTTATTCAGCGGCGGTGATGTATTTAATAGCATTTTTCCTCAAAATTAAGATCATTCGCAATAAAATTATGAAATTTATGTTTTTTTTTAGTTAAAAAGAATTTCTTCGACTTAGTTGCCGCGGCCTCGTTTTGTGTTTGCTAATATACAATGATATCTTTGTGTTGTACGGCAAGCGTTGCGAAGCTCTGCTTCGACTGTGTTATAAATTTTTAAAACAACCTTGCGCAAGAGTGCATAGCGAATCTTATGTGGATTTTTAGATGATTCATCTAGAAGTTAAGCCTGCCATCATTCTCCAGATTTTACGCGAATTGAAAATTCTTCATTCTTGCAACTCGCCGTATATTGTGGGTTTCTGGGGAGCGTTCCAAGCTGAAAATGAAATCAACATATGTATGGAATATATGGTTTGTAAATATTTCAGGTTCGCTCAGTTTTATGAAATGAAAATTTATTTCATTAATTAAGTGATTGCTTTTTTAGAATGGCGGTTCTCTCGACCTAATAATGAGAAAGTCTGGTCGAATTCATGAAAACGTGCTAGCTCGAATTTCGCTGGGAGTAAGTGACTAATATTGCATCAGTGGTACTTCGCTATGATTATCAGTTTCAGCCTTTCTTTTTTTAGGTTTTGAAAGGGTTGAAATATCTAAGGGACGAGAAAGCAATCATACACCGAGGCAAGTGATACTTTATTCAAAAGTAATGGAGATCGGTTATGCTAAACTAATTAATAAGTTTTTCGTTTGCATTTCAGATGTCAAACCGAGTAACATTTTGGTAAACACAAAAGGAGACATTAAACTGTGTGACTTCGGCGTTTCTGGACAACTGATCAATTCAATGGCCAATTCATTTGTTGGAACCAGATCCTACATGAGTCCGGAACGTCTGCAGGGTACCAAGTACAATATTGTGAGTGATATATGGAGCTACGGGCTGTCATTGATTGAAATGGCGTACGGAAAGTACCCCATCCCCCCTCCCTCTGAAGAAGACATGGAGGAACTGATGAGTGCTACGGGACCAGTGTATCCATCTTCGAGAGCATCTACAAACAGAGGCGACAGTGTCGACGACAACAGTCCGAAGACTCTCGCTATTTTTGAACTGCTGGACTACATTGTCAATGAGCCTCCGCCCACGCTGCCTGCAAAGTATTTCACGGAAACATTTATAGAATTCGTCAACAAGTGTCTGGTAAAGGACCCAAAAGATAGGGCAACACTGACTTTCTTGATGGTAAGCTTAACATGGTTGAGTTGGAATTTATTTGCTAAACCACTTTCCAACGCCCGCATTTGGATTTTTCACAAAATTTAAGCGAGCAAAAAAATCCTTTTTGAGTGATTTAAAATCGTTTTTAGAACTCGTATGCAAGTTTCTAAACAATTATTTTGAAACTACCTCGCATTCGCTCATTATGCTTGCGAGCGTTAGTGTATTAGAACGAACCGTCTCTTTTTCTAACCTAACTAGCAAATTTAAATGTTCATTTAAAGTGTTCACATATTGGAAATTGCACCGTAGCATTGAAATTGTATAGCATCTGTTCTCTGCTTTATTTATGGCTTGCGTTTGTGATTATTTAAGCGGCCGTAGCTGAGTGGTCACAGGTTCGAATCCGAGACTTAGCAGTATTTTTTTTTTACTAAATCGAGGCTTATTTCGTGTTCTGGCTTGTGTTTGCGAAGCGCAGCTTCGCCTGTGTTTGAAATTTTTGATCAAAATGTTTATTTTTTTCTGTTTTCTTTCAATCTGATCTTATTCAAACATTAAAAAATTGGATTTAGTTTTCTCGAGCTTTGGTTGCAGGTTTGCTTTTTACATTAAAGTTAACTTGTTTTAAAACTTCTGTTTTGAATTTTTTCGCGTTTTTTGAGCTATTTTATTAAAAGTTTTCTGAGAAGAAATAACCGATGTTCATTCTTCAACTTTAATTTACACATGCGGAAAGTCATGAGATGATGCTATTATTCCTATGTTTACACTTGCGAAGCGAGTGTATTAGTACGAACCTTCTTTTTTTTAACCTTAGTCGCAAATATTGGTGCCACTTTTACAGCTTTTTCATAGCATGTGCTTTGACATTCGAATATTAATAAGTTAACACAGTTGATGCGTTTTTAATTCATCAAATGAACAGAAAAAAGTGATTTGTTTTTAAACAACATAACAATAATGAAAACTCGATTTCAGAAATTTTCTGATTCAGTATTTCTTGCAATTTTTTGAAATGCATAATTTATCCATAATGTGCGCTATGCTCTGCTATTTTTTACATGCAAAGTTAGTGTGGATGCCTTCAGTTTGTTATATTCCAAGTTTTTACTCGCAAAATTGAGTCTATTTGTATTTCATTCCACTTATGCTTAATAGCATTGGCAATTTATTAGCATATGTAACTGTTTTATTCGTGACTAGTGTTTTCGGTTGTTAAGCCTGCGTGGCTGAGTGGTTAGTGCGTGAGATTCAAAATCTCTATTTTGCAGTAGGTCGCAGATGGAATCGTAGAGCTAATTAGAGGCTTTTTTCCTTATTGCACTTTCTTGCTTGTTCTCGGTAGCTTCGCCTCTGTATCTGTAGGAAAATCGGCATTTATGGATCTAGAGATTGTATACCCTGATTACACTTTGCGCTAGCACGTGTGTTGCAATCGGCTACTAGACTGTGTTTCCTCTGAAAAAATTTGTCCATAGTACTCACTCATCACTTGGACTCTAATCTCTTCAAAATATGTCTGTTGAACTACCTCAATAGACAAATTTTGAGCATGTTAGCATTTTAAATTCCTGTTTGATTTATTAAACAGGTATTATGAGAACCTTTTTTTTTCCAGATGAGATCTGGTTTTTTTTTTTTTTTTTTAAATTTTTTTTTTGAGACGCTTTTTCGAAAAATTCGCTTTCCCAAAAAACTACCCGTCAGATTCTTATAAAAGCGGTACCAATGGATTCAGTAGCGTTTCACTTACCTGCCTGCATAAAATGTAGGGCATTTTTTACCCTACCCCACCCCCTACGGTCTTAGAAAAGCTTCACAACTCGGTACTTTTTTCACTTTTTGCCCATTTTTTCGGAAATTTTCGATTTCCTCAAAAACTACCCGTCCAGATTTGGGATTAAGGGTTTAATCGATAGACCACGTTGTAGAAAACTCCCATGCACAAGCGGCTGGTCCCTAATTTGCTTAGGGGAAGAGCTATAGACTTAGGAAAAGTCACTTTTTTGATTTTTTTGCCTATTTTTTCGGAAATTATCGATTTCCTCAAAAACTACCCATCCAGATTTGGAATTAAGGGTTTAATCGATAGACCAGGTTGTAGGAAACTCCCCCGCACAAGCGGCTGGTCCTTAACTTGCTTAGGGGAAGAGCTATAGACTTAGGAAAAGTCACTTTTTTTACTTTTTTGTCCTTTTTTCAAATCTTTCCGATTTCCTCAAAAACTACCCGTCCAGATTTGGGATTAAGGGTTTAATCGATAGACCAGGTTGTAGGAACCCCCCCTACACAAACGGCTCGTCCCTAATTTGTCTAGGGGAAGAGCTATACACTTAGGAATAGTCAATTTTTCGGTTTTTAGGCCATTTTTTCAAACTTTTTCGATTTCTTCAAAAACTACCCATCCAATGAATGCATAAGCTTCTCTTTCACTTTTTTTGCGTAGGAAGGGCGCTATCGACTTGAGAAACCTGAAATTTTAAAACAATTTTAAAATAATCAATATTAAAATAATCAAACAGGTCTCTCCAGCTTTCAGCTGGGCCCCTAGTATCCATCTTATTCGAAATTTGTTTTCTCTGTCGGTTGTTATAGGCCTATATTTAATCATTTTATCGGCCGTACATCGCGTCGTCTGACGACCAAAAAAAAGCTTTGTGTGCGTGTGTGGATATTTTGCGGGAAGGGGAGGGAGCCTCGAGAACTTGTTATTAGTGTTTTTATCTTTTTGGTTATTTTTGCCTTAAACGGTTTCTGCTCAGGTACTTTCGACTGGTTTACCGCTTCGTAAGGTTTCTTCGGATTCTAATTTATTCTTCTATTGTCATCTGTTGGCATGTTTTGTAATCAGTTGGATTCGTCTAATTTTTTTTCGACAAGTTTTTGTCCGAATTTTGTTCCGCTTTGCATCTGTATTCTGTCCTTTTCCTTTATATAGAAATTATTTGAATGGAACGAAGTATTATATGATTTGCCTCATTTGTGATTGCAAGAGTCTTGTAATCGGGAACTTAACTTTTTTTTCTTGTAATCAACATCTTTCAAGTCAGTAAGAAATTCCAGGCTCTTTTCTCACTTAGTTGAGAGGTAACGTGGCGGCAAGGTGTCAATTTCGAGTCCCGGTCGGACCTTGGTTTTTTACTGAAAGGAATTGATTTTTTCCGGGAAAAATTGAATGGTCGGGCTTTCGTTCGTCTGCTTTTTGTGGGTCGGCTTAGTTTTCAAAACATGGAGTTTTTCTCTTATTAATCAATTCTTAATATAATTGACAGTTTATATTAACCAACTGGGATTTTATTGCTTATTTTTGTTTCAATTATAGTGGTTTCGTCATATCTTTTAACTAGCTTAGACAATTTTTTTAGTGTCGCTTGAAGGCTAAAAATTATTTTTAAAAATTAACTAAATTGTGATGTAAAAGTTTCAAGTTTAAGAACTAAACCGTCCAAAATTTTTAAGGCAACTTTTTCTTACAGAATTTTTTTGTTTTTGGCTCATTGGGCGTTTACTCAAGTGTTTTCGGCTTAGTGGCCGCTCGGTAGATGATACTAGAAGCTCCGATTCTCTTCTCTGTGTAAATATTCGAGGAGTTTTGGCTCACGAAGTGAAAGGGATTGACCGATAAACAGGTCGACTTACTTTTAATCCATACCTGGGCTGAGCTTTAATATTCTTTAATTTAGCTTCTCGTTCGCAAAGGATCTTTTGCTGGTTAAGAGTCTATTAACGTTCAGTTTCTTATATAGATCGCGATGATTTTTTAAAGTTTTTTTTCAGGAAAAGTCTTAAATTTGTGATAACAAAGCTTTGAATTTGACTTTTGAGCTTGATGAATTTGTGCGCTTTACTTTTCAAGCGCAGTGTACGTGTGAAACATGTTTCCACCTTTTTTGCTGTAGTATAGTTATTGTAAATTGAAAGCCCGATTTCTTTTACAAAATTGAAGTTTTCAAATTCTAAATTAAGACTTATGAATACGATTTGAGTTTCCGGTTTAGATGGAACCCGTTTTCGCTTCGTGCTAAAAGCGCCATTTTAAATTCTTCTCAGCGATCGAATTGTCTTCAATTTGTTTTAGAGCCATCAATTTGTCACCTCGGACAAAGTCATTTCCCTAGAGGACTTCATTTCGTGGATAACGAAGCACGGAATCGACAATGAAACAAATTAAGTCACAAACAGAGAATGAGATAGATTCTCTTCTCCTTCTGAATTGAAATGAAATTGCTGAATTGTTGCTGGCATAACAATGTCTTAAATGATCATCTTAATGTTAGTCTAATGCTGTTTTCTACCTGCTAATCTTTTGATATTGCATCGTAATATTAATAACATGAATTCCACCGCTCAAGGTGTTCGTTAGTAAAGTACGACCTGTTAATTATTTCGTTTCTCATACTCTGATAGCTATGGTGTTATCGGATAATAGTCAATTTAATGTCCAACTGACACAGTTGGCATCAATGAACTATTATATTTATACGGTAACTCGTTCAAAAATATGTTGACTATTTTCGGTATTGCTGTGCGTTTCTGGGGTGATGTGATCGCTGATCTAAATGCTGATTCAGTTCTGTTGTAGCCGCTGTTTTTCTATCATAAAAATAAAGCAGAAATTTAAATCTATTCATTGCGCTTCTTTTTCACCCTTTGTGATGATTAATCTTAATATAAATTATTTTTTGATACAAAAAATCAATTGATCCAATAAATTTAAGTTATTTTTGATATGTTTTCGTGCATAAGAAGTTAACGACATTTGGACATAGTCGGATTAGCGAATCGAATATTTTGAAGTTCTTTCAAGGCTTGTGTTATCTACTTTTGGTAATCGTTCTGTCCAAGGCGTGGGAAGAAAACGTGCATGGGGTCAAATGAGGCATTACGTAAGCCCTTCCAGTCGCAATTCCTATGCCGCAAAATTAATTCAGTTTTTTTCAATGCCGAGAAAACATGTCGGAAGCTGTTTTCTAAGAGTCGCGATAGTGAAGAATACTATTATATAGGTCTTGGTGATTTTTTTCAGGAAGTCTTTTTTTCACGCCCAATTTTTTTTCGCGGTTTGACTTTTGATTTAGGTTTACTTCATTTTTTTGAAAGGAAGACAAACTCCACTATCGAACATCAAAGTGTAAAGGTAACAAAAATCGTGATCGATTTCTAGTTTCGAAAATGGATTTTAATTTTTGTATTTCCCAGCTTAATATAAAAAATAGCTATTGATCCCGTTTTCTCAAATTGGGTAATTTTATGAGGAAAGTGTCAGCTATAAATTGTTTTATGAAGTTAAAAGGTCTACTAGGAATTACATTTTTTCACCAATTTCTTAGTCTTGTTTCAATCATGATTCGTGCTGCTTTTTCTAGAAAATTTCTTATAAAAGATGTTGAATATCTCGTTGTGCAAATGAGATGCTGTGCACATGAGATCTAAAATTGAGATATCATTTTTCTTCGTTCTTTTGTGTTTTGATAGATTTTTTTCGAAGTGCGCAGTAATCAGCGCTAAATTTTGCAATGAGTTGCTGAAATTTGTCTTCATTAGTCTAATATAAAATTATTACCCTTGCGATAAGCTTGTTCAGGCTCACGTTTACTTTTCGAGGTATGACTTTGGAGGAACAGCAAAAGTGTAAAGGTCACGAAAAACGCGATCGACTTCTTACTCCGAAAGTGGAATTTAATTTTTAGATTTCCCAGCGAAATTAAGTTTTCACTTACTGATCCAGTTTTCTCAAATTGGGTTAATTATATCAAAAAATGCAAATCATAAATTGTTTAAGAAATTCTATTATAAGAAATTGTAAGGCCATTAATTTTTTTCTTTGAAATTCGAAAGTGGTTTTCAAAAAATGTTAGTTTTTTTTCCTTGCGGTTTTTGATTCTTTTGTTGAATGATAGCTATGCTGAATGTTAGTAAAATATCAGTATTAATAATTTGAGCGAAGTTTTTTTTGCCGCAATGATTTTTATCGTGAATTTAGTTTCATCTGACATGCTGGCTCAAGTGCAATGGATAAAACATCATAGATCAAGGTCTTGATGAAGACCTTGAATTTATACTCATTCATCGCATGAAAAACTGGCTCATAGTGCGATATCAAAAGATAAAATTGTTGGTTGTTACGTACAACTTTGCTTTCAAGAATTAATTCCTCAGGCCTGGCATTGTTTGGACTCCTGGTAGAGTTGCTGACGAACAGGTCAATTTTGAGCATGTTTGCGCTTTAATAACCCATTGTATTCTAAATTTTTTAAATCATTTTGTATGTTGGTAAAATGTTTTCATTATCAAATCGTGCTAAGTATAATTTCAGTTTTTCTTTTTTTTTTCATTTGCCTTTAAAAACTTGAGCTGATATCATAGCGTAGCGGCTTTATATTGCAATGTTTTATGAGCAAAAATAGTTTTTTATTCATTTTGGACTTTGCAACCGCAGCTCTAGTTTTGCTGATGCTAATTTAGCATTTTATTGTTTTGTGGAGGGTTCTCATGCATGAAGGACCGAATGCTTTAAAAATTTCATCCAATCGAAATCGCTAAGCGTTTCTATTGGTTAAATGCCTTTCTCGTAAAATCGAAGTCAATATTAACAGAAAATGTATTAAATCAGTGGAAAATAATCAAAAATATTACAAATTGCGGGTTACAACCGCAATACTATTCAGATAATCATCAAGATTAATAAGGTCAAAATCATAAGAATTTTTCAGTCTTGAAAACTCATCTGCTTATTATCTAATCGGTCAATATTAACACTTATGGCCTGGATTTATTTTCTTAATTTAAGATTTTTGCGATTTACTTTGAGATTTTGAATACTCAATTCTGATTGGCTGAAAGAAAGCTAAAATTAATTTCAAGCATTCGGTCCTTCAAGCATGAGGGACGCCACCTATTGTTTTTGTTGCATAATTTTAGCAGGCTTTTTTCTAAATGAACTTAATTAAAGGCAAATTGAGACAAACCTGAAAATTTGTTAGATCTATTTTTTATTGCGATAGTTTGCCACGTTTGATTTGTGTTGTATCCCAAGTCAGGCGAAGCTCCGCTTTGCCTCTGTGTATAAGTTGATAATCGTTTTCAATTTTTCGAAATGTTAATTCTGATTTTCGTAATTTTATACTTTATCTTTAATGAGAATTAAATAAATTTATTGATTTTTTTTCTGAGGGATTTGACCCGACGTTTTAGACCGAGCGACCCTAAAATTATTTTTCGCCATGTTGTACTATAAGAGGGCAACCGTGATCAAAAAGTTAGTCAAAACTTTTCATAAAGGGCCTAAAAACGGCAAAATGGTCTTCATAGTGTTTTGGGGAGCTCGGAAAGTCAATATGGTCCACCAAAAAAAATAAGGCTTGTTTAATTTATATACATTTTATTTATGTGAAGTTTTTCTATATCTCTCTCGATCTTGCGAATGGGGTTAGTAAGATTTCTGTTCACCTTGTCCGATTGTTACTAAAATTGTGGACTAATTAGGCCATGACAAACATATTCGATTTTCATATTGAACCTTTGTAAAACCTCTCGTGTTGTGGAAAGGAAAAAGAGTCGAAGTTTCAAACAAAAAAGTTGGTTCATGTCTACTAGTAATTAGCTCTGTTGTGATATAATTTAGTCGATTGAATTCGGGAGTTGGATTTTGTTATCTGAGCTTGAGGTAAAGTTCAAAGCCAGTTAAGTGTAAATCTGTGACTAGATTGAAATAGAAGTTTTAAAAAATCGGTTAAATGACGGTGAAAAAAACACTCATGGGGAAAGTAGATGGAAATCACACAAAAACATCATTTGTTAACAATGATTTAAACATAATTGTTAAATTTGTTAAGTTTGTTAAGTTTGTTAAATTTAACCCCCGTACGTCAAGTTTAAAATTTTTTAATTACACATTTCGGCTTAAACATTTTTCGTCGTAAGCGGGCGTATACCCGAGTTTTGTCAGCTTAAATACCGTTTCGTTTTTTTCGACTAGCATGCGTTATCAAGTAGGAATATAGACATTTTTTTAGTGTTAACAACTAGTTATATAAAATTCTTTGAATCAATTAGCTTTTCTGTTCTGATAGTATGTCTGGCCCATAGATGTTTTTGAGCATGTCTGTATTTCAAATTGCTGTAATAATCGAATTTTTGTCATTGTAAACCAACTGTTAATTTGTCATTTATTAAGGTTCATGAACGTATTTAAATCTTTTAGACAGGTCTCGGTGATTTTTTTTTGTTTTTTTTTCTTCAGAAAAAGTCTGAAAATTTGTTCACACTCGAATTTGCTTTTTCGGGGTGAATTTCTTAGTTCAGTTCGTTTCCTTTGTTGAAAGGACGGCAAACTCCATTATCGAACAGCAAAAGTGTCCAGTTTTGAAAGTGGAATCTATTATTTAAACGCATCACCAAATGCTCTATGGAAGTCAGGCTTAAATAATTTTCTTAAGGTACAATGGTTAACAAAAGGCGTTGGAGACAACCCTATAGTGGGTGCTGTATATGTATTTGCAGAAGTTGCAAATTTTGCCTCCCAACCCTATAGTGGGTGCTGTATAAGTATTTGCAGAAGTTGCAAATTTTGCCTCCAAATATGACTGCATAAATCCGTTTGGCTTCCGAGATATGAAGTTTTTTTTCTGATTTTTTGAAAAAGTTTACCAAAAAATTTGAAAATAGCCACCTTATTTTGAGCGCTGTTAGGGTACTTTCAATGGTTACAAGTCTTGCTTCCAAATATGTGTGCTCAAATCCTTTTAGCTTCCGAGATATGACATTTTTTATGATTTGAAAACCAAAATTTGAAATTAGCAACCCTATAGTGAGGGTACTTCAGGTTACTTTCGAGTGTATCATGCTTTGCCTCCAATTGTGTCTGCTCAATTCTTTTGGCTCTCTTGTTATGTTGTGTTTTGTCAAATTTTTTCAAAAAATTAGCTGAAAACTTATCAAAATTTGACACTCCCAACTCTATAGTGGGTTGCTTTCAGGGTACTAGCAGCAGTTAGCAAATCTTGCCTTTAAATATGGCTTCTCAAATCCCTTCATCATCCGAGATATGACATTTTTCAAATTTTTTTTACTTGAAGAATTTCAATTTTCACAAAACTTTGAATTTCGAACCTTATAGGCCTATCTAGAAAAATTATCGGCTTTCTTGGAATTTTTTTTCACACCCCCACCCCACTCACTTATCTCATAATTCCAGTTGAAAAGAGCCTTTTTTCCAATTAGACAATTATTCCAATAAGAGCCAATTATTCTTGTCCTACCTTTCATATTGATTGATTTTTATATAAGACGGGTAAATGAAAATGAGCCTTTTAATAAAAAAGCTTCAATATTTATTACACTTGGGAGAGCAAGTGTTCTGTAATCGGGAACCATATTTTTTCCGTTTAACAACTTTTCTTAAAAATTTGTAAGAAAGTGTGAACGTGCTTTATTAGTGACCCTAAGCAACTTCGAGACTACGTCCGACTTGGCGAAGACGGAACGCAGTTGCCTTTTTACTCTAAGTTTCGGGGTACGAGTCTAGGACGGACCTTGTTTGTTTTTCAGTATGTATGAAATTGAATTTTTTACGGGAAAAATTGAATTGTCGGACTTCGTTTGTCTACCTAAGTTTTGTCTGCATAGTTGCCACATCGGGAAATTTTATTGTGCTGTCAGTAATTTTCATCGTAGATGCAAATTTTTTAAAATTTTTTTTCTAATTTCTTAAATTAATAACCTTGACGTATATTTTCCTTGGTTTTCATTTTTTTCGCTTAAACGTTTTTTTTCGGCCTCAATGGTTCCGGCTGATTTTTTATAAGCTTAGTTACCTTATTTTGTGTCGCTTCAAAGGCAAAAAGGATTGATTTTGTTGAAAATTTTCAGGTAGTTTGCTCAATGGGCGTCTACCTATTTGTTTTCGGCTAAGTGGTTGCTTGGTAATTACTAAAAGCTTATGTTATACTGGTGGTTTTTTCTCGACAGTTTTTCTTTGAGCCTTTTTTTTCGATTTCTTTTCTTATTTTTTATTCACCAGCTTGCAATGCTGCGATTGAGTTGTATCGCAACTAATAATAAGCTCGGCTCTGATTCTGTGTAACAGACGCGGCATCATTGCATTCCTGTTCAAAACACTTTTTACATTCTGCGATAGTTCAAGCTTATGTATGGTCAATTGAGTTGTCAAATTTTTGAAGAGAATTTTAAGTTAACAGGTAATATGTATCAAAAGTTAAAACCTGATTCCTGCCTTTGTTTTCGAAGTGGATGTAGAAATTTTAGGCGTTTTTTCTTTGCCAAATAAAGATTTGATGGCATCATTATTAGTGTTTTCATTTTTGCGCTTGTGATTAGCAATCTTTATCAAATCGGGATATGTATTTTTCCAGGTTAACATCTTGTTAAATAAAGTCCATTGAGGTTTTAAGCTTGCATTTAGTTAAATTCTCATTTCCTAGCTTTTCCGGTATACTTGCTCTAGGGGTAACGACTTCGCATCGAACGGCAAAGGTCCTAAGTTCGAATTTAGCCAGGGACATGGGGCGTTAAAATCTAGATTTGAATGATTTGCATAAGTTTTTCATGGCATTAATTTGGTTTTTGGCTCAACAGGAGTTAATTCAACTTTTATCGGCTTAATTGTCGCTCGATAAATGTTTCGGTGATGTGATTGTGGATCTGGACTTGTTATCCTCAAATTAAACATCATTCCAGGTTTAAAAAAATTTGTAGTTGTGGTTTTTGGTTTTTTTAATCAGCTTTGTGGCTTTCATTTCATTTTCTGCCTACTATATTGTAATGGTATATTTTTGTTCTACGTCAAGTGGTGCGAAGCCTCGCTTCGTTTCTGTGTTTAAAGAGTAAATCACTTTTTTTAAAAAAAATAATTTTTGTTGGTTTGTTGCGCAGTTGTTCATTTTTTCGGCTCTCACCTTCATCTTAAATAAAGGTTTTTCTCCCCTCCCCCGTCTACCTTTGAGCTTAGCTCTGTTTCCCTACACGAGATTTTTATAAGTGTTGTTTCTGTTCACATCGTCTGATTTTTACAAAAATTGGCATGCAAATTATCTAGACCACGACCAACGCACTTGGTTTTCAATTTAACCTTGTAAAACACCTCGTTACACCAAAAGAGTTTCTCTGTTCACCATGCAGCAGTTTCCTTCGTTAGCACACCGCTAAGCATAATTTCTGATATTGCCATTCAAAACAAGGGAGTGGGAGTAGAAAAGAGCCCAAATAAGATTCAAATTTGTGCTACTGGTTCCGCAAGGGTTAAGTATCAAGACCAAATAAGAATTGAATAGCCAGATTACTCAGCATGTCATTTTTTTAACAAACGGACATCATGAACTAAAGTTGTGTAGGAAAATTTCACGGGTCGGGGAAAAAGGTGCCTCATATATTTGCTGAAAAACATGGTCGCGCTCTTTTCTACTCCCCCAATATTTAAAGTTTTTTATTGTTGTCTTGCGTGTAATTATGGCTGAATGCGTAATATTACGATGCAAAGCCTCAAAAACAATTGTTGAGTTGTTCACCATGCCAAGTTTTTGCATTATGTCAATGTCAAAAGAATTTTCTGAAAACCAAAGGTGGGGAAAAGAGTTCATGGCCGTGCTTCTTCTGTGTAATAAATCAGCTAGGTTAAATGGGTGGGAGTTTCTTCAGATTTGAGAAGATAGTTTTAAAAAATAGATCTTTTGAGCACGTGTTGTTTTACGTAAATTTATTTTGCTTATTTTTTAGCTGTGATTGTCGATTGAAGCATTTGAAATCAAGAACTAAATAATGGTTTCAGAAAAAGTCGACATAACAAAAAGAAGTAAGTTTTCTACAGAATCAGGTTGTGTGTTATAGCTCTTCTAATTTACAATAAAACTTGCGTCAGTTTTTTCCCTATGAATGAAAATTTAAGGTAGCTCAAAAAAAATACTTAAAACGAAAAGAGGTAGCGTCAGTTTGCAATCAATCTGTAAACAGCATCTTGAGAATGGATTCTATTTTCAGTTTCACGATATGGTGAAAAGGGCGCGTGATCACACTTTTGTAGCCGAGGAAATTGCACACGAAGTCTCCCGAACTCGATCGACTAGACTACGAAGTTCAAACAACGCCCACGTCAGCACGACGGCAGATTCCAGCGTGCATAGATCTCGCAGTGGTCGAACAGTACAGACTGCTTCCTCGAATCCCAATTTACGACAACGATCCGACTGCAGCAGTGAAGGGGAGAGACGAAAACGACCAAGAAATACAGAGATGCATACATATGGTGACAGAAGAAATACGGAAACGGGTATCAACTCTGCTCGAGAGTCGAGGAACAACCGGTCCTCAGCTGGACTTGCGGCGGACGCCCATACGATGACGAGAAGCGAATCAAACTTACCAACTGCTGGGGGATCTAGACGCTGCAATATAGATCCATTGAAGTTGTCCCAAGATGATATTTCGGTAACTGAAGACAATAATCCCATAGGAAGATCTGTGAAGCTATTTGTGCAAGCCAAAACAGCGACGCAAGGAATGAAATCTTTGATGTCTGAAAATGAACAGTTGTTCCAGGAGTTCAAAGATTTCTTAATAGTCAATTTACCCGATAAGGGGCCGCCGCCAGAAGGCGCTACACTTTCTACACGTGGGGATGAAAAGGTTTCGCCTCCCCTTCTGAAGCTTTCTGTTGGTGTTAATACGTGCGCTACAATACCCTCCGATTTTGTCAACGAATCTGCCATTGAATGGACAGACGATTTGAAATCATCTTTGAAGTGCACAATTTGTCAGGAGCTCTGCCATCGGTGCGTTACATCATGCCCTTGCTTCCACACCTTTTGTGGGGGCTGTCTTAGCATGTGGTTTGAGCGCTGCGGAACCCGGAAAACATGCCCGACCTGTCGCGAGGCGATTTCGTCGGTATCAAAAAATTTGCACGCAGAGCAGTTATTGAAGTCGTATTTTGCTTCGTTTCCAACACAAAGACGATCTCAAACTGAGCTGAATGAGTTGCAGACGAAAGACAGACTTTACTGTGCAAATGTGGTGCTACTGAATGACAACTCCTCATCTTCGAATGCAAGGAGGCGAAGATACGCCGGTCACAGTGCTTCGAACGGGTGAGATATGATTTTGAAGCGGCATAGTGAATTCATTCTACTTTCGTCATTAAAGCTGAAGTAGAGCTTCTGACCATTCTCCCCTTCCCCTCCACACAAGGACATTAGTTTTTGACATGAAGCGAGGGAGAAGACTATAATAAGAAATAGCCCATTTTAAATGGGTATTTTGTTTTCTACGCACCCTCTTCTTGCGTATTTAAGAATGATACGGCAAAGCAGGGTTGATTTAACATCGAAACCTTTTAGAATGGCTATTTGTTAATTAAATTTTTATTTCAGTGTTAACGCATAGGTTAAAATGGCTTTTTTTAACCGTGGATCCGTCTTCGGACATAAGATTTACGGGCGGATCGTAATCTTAGCTTAGTATTACCGATGAGTGCCTAAAAGTTGCTATTTTGTTTTTGCAGATCAATATCTGCGTAGTTAGATAATGTATGTTTTCACCGATGTGTTGATGCGTTTGTATGAATTCACCCGATCAGTAGTTCGTGTTTCGAATCTCGGCTTTAGCTCAAACTAGATTGTTTTAGTGTTCCTGTGGCACTGAGTGATATTTTGAGCAATGTAGACACTGACGATTCGCAAGACAATGGAGAGACCTCTGCATTCGAGACCTCGACTGCAGATAACGAAGAGCCAAACTCACTCGAACATCGATTTTTCTCTGTTAATGACCCCACTGATACTGAGTTGGGTGGTTCCTCTTTTCACTTTGGTCGCCTCGTTAATCGTAGCAGTAGAGTAGAGTCAACTACACGCCCAGCGACTAGCAGAACGGATCGAAATCCAATGCAGTCGACCTTCAATGCGCCGCAGAACCAGCGGAACGACAACGATTTCGGCACTCAATTTTTGTTGTCTCCCTTAAGAGTAAGATCGCTTGATGCGGTTACGAACCGGATGGCAAATTACGGAGGAATTCGCGATGACACTCTCACGTTGTCAGAAGCCTCTGCAGAAATAGTGTCGTCGTTTTTGGACCAGAGTGAGGAAGAGTCTGAAACTGGCGAGGAGACTACTGGACCAGAAGCGATGACATCAGCAGCTCCATCGGCAGCTGACACTCAGCCGATAACATCGCGACGCCGAAGCAGTCCACGACCGTTTCCAACTGAAAGTAGAACTCGTCGTTCGGATAGGACTAACCCAAACAGACGTGAGTATGTCTCAAGTAGCCGGAGACCAAGGGTTCGAGGCTTGGCTGTGCGACGTCGCGGAGGAGGCGTAGTTCGAGGAGTGCGATCGAATCGTAGAAACAGGCAACAGGAGACTGTTAGTTCTACGACTGGAAATCACGAGGTCAATCAGCACAATTACGCTCGAGATGAAGGCAGCGATACTGAAAATGGGTCGGATTCCAATTATGAAACGAGGATAAATGTGGCGTACGAATTGAATAGTTATAGCTCGGATGATGGAAGCAATAGTTCTAGCTCTGATACAGAAAGCTCTTTGAACTTCAGTGACTACCAGGCGACTAATAACGATGGTACTAATGCAGTTGCGTAATGTGCATACATCTATTACAAAACGAAACTATCGAAAAAAAATTTTGTTCCTTGTATTTAAGCTAAAATTTGGTGTGTTGTACTGTTTAAGCCCCACCTATGTAGTTAAACTTCTACTGCTTCAATATTTATTAAATGGAATAAACATAGGAAAATATAATTTTGTTCGTTATTCTTTGGTTTGATGATTTCGTCCCTGACAATTCAAGTTTTATTTACACTATCTGATACAGTTTCCAGTTAGAGATTGGCATCTACATCAAAAATTTCCACGCATCCTGTGAGATTTTGGATGCAAAATCAGTTGCCTGGATTAATTGAGATATAGGTCTCTGCTTAAGTGTCAATGAAGGTAATTTTTTTAAAGGAAAAATCTTCGTTCACGATAGCTTTGATCTTTTGTGGTTTGAATTTGATTTAATAAGTCAGTTGAATTCATTTGCTAAGAGGAAGGCGAATAACACTCCAATTACGAAGGCAGAAATGGCGCAAAAAAACGGGAACGACTTTCAGTTTCGAAAATGTATTTTATATTTTAAATTTCCCAGCTGAATAAAAAATAACTAGTGATCTGGTTTTCTCAAATTGGGTTAATTTTATGAGGAAAGTCAATTATAAATTGTTTTATGAAGTTCAAAGGTTTACTAGGAGGTACATTTTTTCCAATTACTTTTGGTCTTTTTTCAATCATGATTCTTGCTGCTTTTTTTCTCGAAAATGTTTTTAGAAAAGATGCTGAATATCTGACACTGTGCACATGAGATCAAAAATTTAGATAACCTTTCTCTGCAAGTAAGATATCAGAAGTGCTAATCAAATAAAAAGAAAATTTGTCTTCGTTCTTGTAAGTTTTTGATAGATTTTTTTGAAGTGTGCAGTAATCAGCGCCACAATTAGCTATGAGATGCTGAAAGTTGTCTTCAGCAGTCTAATATAAGATTATTACTCTTGCGATAAGCAATGTTATCAGGAATGTTAGCAAAACTTTGCTTACAGGATCTCCAATTTTAATATCTTCATTTCCAATCTCGCCAACTTGTACGTGAGCACAAGTTTGCCATGTTGTATTGTTAACAGCTGGTCTAGAGGTGCTGGAGCAATACTAGGTCTACAGTTGAAATAATTTTCAAAAATAAATTGATTTTTTTGAGTTCGTGTCAATTTTTATCGTTTTACTTACCGGGTGTTTTATTTCTTTATAATTTTGATAGATGCCTCAAGCAATCTTCTTCTTCATTTTCAAAAGGGTAATTTTAGGTCTTGGTTTTTAAGAGTCGATGAACGTAATTCAGACTCCTATGTAGGTCGCTATGGTTCTTTTGGTTTTATTTTTACAGGAAAAGTCTTAAAGTTTGTTCAGTTCCAAAATTATTTTTTCGCGGTTTGACTTTTAATCTTTTTTAAAATTCAGTCCTTTTTCTTTGTTAAAAGAACGGCAAAGTCCAATATTGAACAGCGAAAGTTAAAAGGTCACGAAAAAAATGATAGGCTTCAAGTTTCGAAAGTGTTTACGCTTGCGATTAGCAAGCATTATCAAATCGGAATGAAGACTTTTTTCAAATCGGAATAAAGACAACTTGTTCAACAGAACCGCTTCAATCAATTGGTATCTTGGTTCAGAATTAATTCAAATTTTTAAATGTCTCCGGCACAATTAGTTTTGAGGTAATGAATACGTTTGGGACGCCAAAGGTCCTGGGATCGAATTCGACAGGACCGTTTTTTTTCTAACGGGAAAAAATCCGCTTCAAAAAACAATTTTCGGCTTTTTATAGCCTGCTTGGGTTTTTTTTGGCTTAGTTGCCATATTGAAGAATGTTTTTTTTCTAAGTTTTTTTGACTTGATAGTTGCTTTTAGTGCTCTGATTTAACTCTCGTGTTTTTAGTTTTACTAAATTTGAATTCGTATGTTTCTTCTTCTTTTTTTGTTTAAAAACACTCTATTCTGCCCAAATTATTTCGGCGTTTTTTATCGGCTTTGTAACCTAGCTTTTAATCGCTCTAACGGAAAAATATTTTTTATGCTCACCTCTAAGATGCTAAAAACCTTAATATATTTATAGTTTTTATGATAACAATTTTTTTCCGGCTGTTTTGTTTTTTCTTTTTTTTTCGGCTTTATAGGTTTCAACCTATATTATGTCGGCTTATTGGACTCATATTGCGTCTTTCGATGAGCGGAAAAAAGTTTTTGTGTGAGTGTCTGTGTTTTGAGGTTCAGGGGACTTAATAACTTCGATTTAGTCTTAAATTGTTTTGATTTTTTTGGCTTTTTTTGTTTTCTTTTTTGTGCTTAATAGGTTTCGGCCTAAGTTATATCAACTTAGTGGCCTCATGTTGTTTCTTTTGACGTGAAAAAAATTGTTTTGTGAGCATTTGTGTGTTTTGTGAGGAAGGGGGGACTTATTAACTTTTCATAAGTCTTGTTTTCGTCGTAAAGGGTTTCTGGCCAGGTATTTTCGACTTTGTTACCACTGGTATCTTATCTTCCTATGCTGATTTCATTTTTTATTGTCATGAACTGTTTTTGTTTCAAACTAGCCTTAGTTATTTTGATAGATCTAGTTTTTTCGACCTTGGATTTTTTTAAATTGCTTTGTTTTTTATTGCAAGTGGTGCGAAGCTCAGCTTCGCCTCTGTGTTTAATTTTCAGTATTCCCAGCGGGAAAAAATATGACCTACTGATCCAGTTTTCTCGAATCGGGTTAATTTTTATCAAAAAAGTGTCAATCATAAACTGTACCAGAAAATCAAGATTTAAGTTCACATTTTTTGTCTTGGAAATGCGAAAGTTGACATTTTTTTCAAGAAATAAGTCAGTATTTTTTTTTGGTTACCTGCGCTCATTGACTCTTTTCTAACTTTTTGTTCGCCATGTTTTGGTTTTTAGACGCGACAAATTTTTCTGTTAGATTTTTAAAAATTTTGAAAAAAAATTGCGTTAAATTTTCATTCTCGAATGCATGGCTTCTGGTTATTTTTTAAGCTAAAATTGCGTGAGATCAGTTTGTTTCACTTTTTGTTGTCTTAGAGCTGAGTAGAAAAATTTGAAATCGATTGATGGGATAGCGTTCGTTTTAAAATGTGAAAATACTTCTCAAAAAAGTTTCATACATTTCCGGAAGTTTTTTTTTTGCAATTTTCTATTGACTGTGTTGTCAGCAAAGGAATGTGGTGAGTATCGCACGGCATTCAGGAGCTGGTTTTTTTTCCGGCTGAAAATTTCCAACCTAAGTCGCAAATTTTGTTGCGATTTGTGTTGCGACTAATTCGCAATTATTGTTGCGACTTAAAGAAATAATATTTGTTGCCTTGAATATGCTGCATCGAATTGGCAATAAGATGGTTTGTTGCACCTTTACAATTTATTTATAACATTTGCTTTGAAATCTGAATAGTTATAAGTTTACACAGTTGATGCATTTTTAATTCATCAAGTGAAACAAAGAAAGCTATTTGTTTCAAACATAACAATATTATAATAACGATTTCAGAAAATGTCTAACTCAATATATTTCGCAATTTTTTGAAATGCATAATTTATACATAATGGTACTTTATGATTTGCGATTTTTTACATGCAAAAATGTATCTTTTTGTATTTGATGCTACTTTTGCTGCATCGAATTTCCAATATATTAGCAGATGTAGGTGCATTTATTAGCATATGCATTATTGGTGGCTAGGTTTTGGGGATTTTAAGCATCCCTGGCTGAATGGTTAGTGCGTGAGATTTAAATTTGCTGGGTCGCAGATGTTTGCTAAGCCTCGAGTGTTTGCAAATTCGGGCTTATTTCTACTTTTTCTTATGTCACTTGATGGAGCTGCTTTTTAGTCGTGTTCTCGCAAGTGTTTGCGAAGAGCAGCTTCACCTCTGTGTCGAAGTTTGTTTTTAATTTTCTAAGTTATTTATTTATGGCAATTCAAGTTCTTTTTTGAAGCAATTGTTTTGTATTTTTCTTGTCATTTTTTTCTTTCAGTATGATCTTAGTTTATAGCAAATAACGGAAAGGGCCTCTTCTTAACCCCAATTGTTCCTTTATGATATGCAGGTTGTTTGTTTGCTAAATTTTAAGCACTGATTTTGAGTTCATTTAGCAGTTTTTGGATTTCGATTTTTTTTGTATCGTTTCCATCTACTGTTTATGAGAAAGAAGGAAATGAAGTTTGTGCAGCCCGAATCTTTTTTATGTGTTAAGTAATCTATTTTAATATTATTGTATTAAGATTTTTATTGATTTGCTAGCCTACACCTTAGGCACATTGCCTTTTGATTTTTGGCGTTTGAGGCACATTATCTTTTGATTTTTGGCCGTTTTGTTTTATATTGCAAGTGGTGCGAAGATCAGGTTCGCCTCTGTGTTTGGTAATTAATAACATGTGTTTCGTGGCTGTTGTTTGCAAAAAGGTGTTTGTAGAGAAAATGCGGGTAATGAAAAAATTGAATTTTGACGAAAAAGTGAATGGTATGACTTTCACTGGTTTGCTCATCTTCTGTCAGAATTTACTTGAGATTTGAAAATTTCCTACTATAATGGACAGTCGATCTGATATTTGTAAATTTACCAACTTGGCTTTTGAATAATTTTAAAATTTGTTTTAATTTTTTTTTCGATCAAATGGTTTCGACTTTGTTTTATTGTCTTAGTTGCCTTATTTTGTTACGTTTGGAGCGCAAAGTTTCATTTCTATCGTCGTTTTGATTATTTCAAGGGGGATGCAGTGTAAAATCTTCAAGTTATTAATGATTTGTATAATCTTTAAGTTGAACTTAATCGCTCAAAACAACTTCAATGAGACCAATTTTTAAGGCATAATTAAGAGTCGATGAACGTAGTTCAGACTCTTTGATAGGTCACGATGATTTTTTTCGGTTTTTTCTGCAAAAGGCTTAAAAATTTTTCAGGTTAATAGTTACTTTTTTGAGGTTCGACCTTTGATTTCTTTTTAAGGTCAGTTCATTTTCTTTGTTAAAAGAAAGGCAAAGTTCACTATCGAAGAGTGAAAGTTGAAAGGTCACGAAAAACCTGATCGACTTCTAGTTTCGAAAGAGAAATTTGATTATTGAATTTTCCAGCGAAACAAAAGTTGTACCTATTGATCCAGCTTTCTCAAATTGGGATAATTTTTATCAAAAAGTGTCAATCATAATTTTTTCTAGAAATTGAAGTCCGAGAATTAGACTTTGAAGTTCGACTTTTTCAAAAAAAAATGCCGTATTTTTTACTTGCGTTCATTGACTCTTTTGCAAGTGTCTGTTAGCTATGTTTTTGTTTTGGGCTCAAAAGACGTCTATACAAGTATGCCAGCTTAGAAGCGCGCGACAAACGAAAGCTCATTTAATGCTGGTAATTTGTTTCTCGAATGTGTTTCTGAAAATGAGTTCCAAATTTTGTTCCAATTTTCGAAGTTGTGATATCACGCAAACATAGCATTGCTAACTAGTAGACAAAAAATACAAGGAAAACCACTAAAATTGAAAAAACTTCAACAAAAAATTGAAAAATCTTCAACAAAATTGAAAAATCATAACAAAAAATATTTATCTCTAATGATGTTTACTATGATGTAAACTCCCGTTGAGTCGCAAATAAAGATGCCATGAAATTTTTTATAAGTTTTTACGCCCGCCTCTGAAAACACAAAAAGATCAGTATCTGTTTTTTCTTTTCAAAGGACGCAAATATAGGTCAATGAGCCAATAAAACAAAGCGAGATTTTGAAGCCAAATAAACTTTGAGCGAAAAAAAAAACAAGTGAAGATACAAAAAAAAAATCAGAAATCAGTTGTTTCCTCTAGACCAAGTGTGCCAGAGAAGCCAAGAATTCCGAACTCATTATAAACAAGCCTATCAAATGATTCGAGTGAATCTGTGAAACAAATTGTAAAGACGAAAAAGTCTGTATTCTGATTAGATAACGCGTAAAATTATCGGTGGTTAAATGAATTACCCATTAACCCGGTTTTCTGAGGTTTTAGTGTCAAAAAAAGTTTCTTTAAAGTGACAAAGCTTAATGGTTAGGGTTTTTTTTTGAGGAACTTGAAACGTGAAAACGTATTGGTTTTTATTCTATTAGTCAATATTATTAGTCTATAACAAATCTCTGTTGGGCATGTGCGGTTTTTGTAAAGTGTCCTGCTGCGAATTTCTGGTTTGTTTTTGTCTGCGCCTGTGTTGTTTCAATTATCCTCGGAAAAGCGTACTAGGCATTAATTTAAAAAAAAAAATTTTGTCGAAGCGCCAAATGAAGCTTAGAAAACTAGTTTTCCTGGGGTAAAACTAAGTTTTTTACGGCTTTTTTGTCCAATTTTAACTTCAAATTGCTGGCTTTACTCGATCAATTTAAGACAAAAAAGGTTTTCTGGGGAATTCTTTTGATCTCGGGAGATTTCTTGGAATTTTTTTGTTGTTCGAACCTGTTGGGAACTAATGCTGTTTTTCTTTTTTATTGCGCAAGGATGGTAATGAATTTGTAAGAATAAAACATCCTATTGTTAATTAGTTTCAATTGACATTGAAAATGCGCAGGTTTCTACATGATCATCTTTCTAACTGAATCGTTTTCATTACCCTTGCGGCAAGCAAGGCTATTGATATCAGTTACTGGACTTTTTTCCAGTACACCTTTGTTCACAGGATGACTGAAATTCGGCCATCTGCATTTTCATTTCTACCCAAGTTGCGCACCTAATAGCTGTAGTGCAACAACTGGTTTCGAGCTATTGAAGTGATTCTTGCTTTACAGCTGAAAAAAAAATTAGATATAAATTGATTTTTTTGTTGTCTTTGTTGATTTCGTCCTAATTTTTGTCGGCTTTCTTTCCGGGTGTTATATTTCTAGCTTTTTTGATACAATTTTTTCATGAAAGTAAAAATAATTCATAATTTACTAATTTTTATACTTGCTAAATTTTTTGCTACAAAAAAGTTTTTTGAAATTTTTTGTTTGACAGTTTTTGCATTAATTTTTCAGTTTTTTTTCGGATGTATAGTTTCTGATTTTTGTTGTTCCCAAATTGCGTGGAAGTAGTTTTTGTTTTGATAAGTTCTGTGTTTTAGTTTGGAGCATTTTCATTTGAAATCTTTTCAAGTTGATGACTTAGCGTATAGTTTTAATATGTCAAAAAATTTTCAAATAAAAAATAGTAATTTTCCAGAATTTTTTTTGCAAATTTGACTCAACTGTTTTGTTTTTAAAGGAATGTGGCGGTAAGTGTTGCACGGGATCCATGAGTGTGGAGTATGGCTGAGATTTGTGAATAAACAAAAGACTAAGTGTTTTTCCCCTTAGTGGCGTCTTGTTTTTTGTTGTGATCCAGCTAGCTCTCTTACAGTTGCGTATAACCTTCAAATTTGATGAGTCTGTTCTAATTGGGTTTTTCTAGGCTTTCGGAATTTTTTCTGATGTTCTGCAAGTTCTTTTTCGGGGCAATATTAATAATTTTTGCCTTTTATTTTCATTTTTTTTCTTTCATTTTGATCTTATACAATAGCAAATAGCGTATAGGGCATTTTTATCCCTGATTGTTCCTGCTGGATATGCAGTTTGTTTGGTTGCAAGATTTAATGAACAGTTTTGAGTACATTTAGAAATTGTCGCATCTCAATTTTTTAACCGAAATGTATGTTATCGTTTCCATCTATTGGTTATGAGAAAGAATTGGATGGATTTAACCCAGAATCCTTCTTTCGTTTCAGGAAAATGATTGCTATAATAAATGCAGCAAGTTTTTTCTCGAGTGTTTCAAACGAAAAGTGAAAAGCTTGAATGAGTTTCTAAGAAATCGTAGACTAAAAAATCAAGAAAAAACTTGCTGATTTAAATCTTTTGGCTTATGGCGCGTTATTATGTATCGCAAGTGGTGCGAAGCTCAGCTTCGCCTCTGTATATAATTTTAACCGCTTTTGTTCCCAATTTTGTTAGAAATCAGGCTCTAGTATTAATAATGTAGATTTTTTTTGGCTATGAGCGAGAACTTTTGTAGCCGCTCCATTTGCTATTTATTGTAGTGGAAACCCGCTGCTTGCTGTTATTCAAATGAGTTGTTTTTAGATATTTTGGCCAATTTTCGATAGACAGTCATTTGATTGAAAACATTTGCAGTTCAAAACATGTCTTCATCAGCAAACACGAGTGGACTGTGGATTGACCAGAACCAGCCAAAGTCATTCAAGGATCTTTCCTACCATCCTAGTATCTCAAACTGCCTGAAAAGAATGGCATCTAGTGGCGATTTCCCTCATTTCCTCTTTTTCGGCCCCTCTGGTGCAGGAAAGCGAACTCGAGCGATGTGCTTCTTACGAGAAGTTTACGGAGCAGGAGTTGACAGAACGAGACTTAGTCACGAGACGTTCGAGACATCGAATAACAAGAAAGTGGAAATCAACTTGATAGCCAGTAACTATCACCTGGAAATTAACCCAAGCGATGCTGGAATCTACGATCGGTTTGTGATTCAAGATCTGATTAAAACTACAGCCCAAAGTAATCAGCTGGACGCGACTAACCAGAAGTCATTCAAAGTCATTCTAATTTCGGAAGCTGATAATTTGACCAAAGACGCACAACATGCGTTGAGAAGAACTATGGAGAAATACGTATCATCGTGTAGGTTAATTTTGATTGCCAATTCAGTTGGAAAAGTGATTCCAGCTCTGAGGAGCAGATGTCAGATGATCCGGATTCCTGCACCGACCGTCGAAGAGGCCGCAAAAGTAGTGCATCAAGTATCGCGAAAAGAACGGTTCTCAATTACCATGGAAACTGCTACTCGTATTGCAGAGTCAGCTAATCGAAACCTGCGAGTTGCTCTTTTGAAATGTGAAGTGATGAAACTCAAACAGACTCCGAACCCTCAAGAATCGGAGTTTCCGGAGGCACCCTGGGAGTCGTATGTCCGAGAGACAGCTGCGATCATTCTCTCTAAACAGTCGAAAGAGGCGGTTCTTCAGATTAGAAAGCGACTTTACTGTCTGCTGGAGAAGTGTATACCGTCTCAGGTGATTTTTGTTGAGCTGGCTAAATGTATGATTGAGAGAGTTGATTTTGGATTCAAACCTGTACTGGCGCGTTTAGCTGCTCATTACGAGACAAGCTGTAATATTGGAGACAAGGCGATATTTCATTTGGAGGCATTTGTGGCCAAGTTTATGCATCTCTATTTGGTGTACCAATCGGAAGGTTTCTGTGATAAACTGATGATCGAATGAAACAACTAATGATATGATGATTTGTTTGATGTATTGAATTTGTCTGTATTGAGTGAAATGTTTGAATAATTTGAATGATCTTACAGAATTTCAGATCAGCAGATGGAGCTAACGAAGAAGGCAATGCATTTAAGTTTTTTTTATGTAATCAACTTTCAATTTTTACAAAGAGTTGAAGCTGTACAAATACGGCAAAAAAGAGAAGAAAGGAAAGAGAAAAAAATGTTCTTGAAAAACAAAAACTTTCCCTGTACTGGAGTCGACCACGAACCTAGAGACCAATAGTACTGCCACCTGAGCCATATGCTCTCCTTTTACATGGTCAAACTTATGCCACTGACTAAGTGGATAGCAAACACATGCTATTAAAAACATCAACAACAGGATAAGTGAACACTTGATGAGCATTTTGTTTGCGTTTGTGGTTGGAAAAAATGGACCGTGTAATATGAAACTACGCTGCGCTTGTTTTATGAAAAAGCACTGTTCTGAAAAGTTTGATACTCTTACTGGGCTAAACGTTTGTATTTGCCAATAAACTAAAACAAGACTGCTCGTGTCAGAGCGAAGCCCTGAATGTTCCGACTACCTTTGAAGTTTAAGGAGCAGTAATAACCTATAAAAATAAAATGTAATAAAATAAAATGAAATTTTTTTCTCTAAAATTTGATTTTTTTTGAATTAAAAATCATCCCCCCACACGCCATATAAAGTACGAAAGAATAGATTTCGCTCCTTGTAACAAATCAATTATGGCAAATAAGCTTCTTCCAACCAATTTGGAACGATTTCTAAGACGGATTAAATCTCCGCTTACGCGTTAATAGCGCGAATTATATCGCGCTTTAATTGTCCCAAATTGGCAATCTTTAAACCCCCATAACTTTACAAAAAATGATCACAGGTGAAATATCTTTTCAAATTTAAGCTCAGGACAACAATACCTTTTGAATGGTATAAAAAAATTCCGTCAAAAATGGCTAGTTAAAAAGTCGAAATTTGTCTGAAGAAAAAAAAACCCACACCGAGCACAAATATTCCGTTACTTTCGTATCGAAAGTCGGAACAACAAGACTGCTGTTATATCAGTTCAAAGACCTGAATGTTCCGACTGCCCCTTAATCCATATCGAATAGTTAAAAACGTATAAATAGATAATGTTGAAAAAACTTTAAACTCGCGTTAAGCTTTCAGGATTATCGATAAAATCTACAAAGCCTGCCTAAATTAGTCAAGAGCATGGCAAAACAAACATTTTTCGAATTCCCAAAACTTTGCAGAAATTCATTGGAGATTAAATATATTTTTAAATGCGAGTCGTTATCTTCAACGAGGCATACAATTGCTGCGCTAAAAACTCTTAGTTCGATCACCGAAAATTGACAATAAAAAACCACTCCAAGCAAAAATATTCCATTTTATTCGGAAGTCAAACAATGAAATATTTGTTGACGTGCTTTAAATGCAGCCCAATTTTACAGTAAACAGTTTCGTCCGAGAAATTAAGAACTGACCGTTTAATTGCGTGTTGCTAAATCAATAAAATTCAACTGGCCAATAAGCAATTTGGTATCATAATCAAAATTTAACTGGTCGCTTTTTAAGCGCCGATGAACGATTCAGAAACTTACTAATGAAAATTCTTTCGCAGCAAAAATGCCTAAAATTTGTACATACTATAAGTGGTTGTTGCCGGACATCAAGCCGAATAGTAAAATTAGGCACTTCAAGCTAAACATTTCTCATAAAATCATTAAATATGATTAATAATTAATAAGAACCGTTTTAAAGAATTTCTCAATTAAGTTAAATTTCTTTACAGGTAGTTGCCTTTTTCATAATTTTTGAGCCTCTCTTTGATCCTTTGGAATATTGAAATTTAAACATTGTTAAAAGGGTTTTTCACGTTTATAATTTATGCCTTTCGAAATGAAAGTTAAGCAACTCAAGGTCTTTGTGTAGTTCAAATTGCGACTTGATTTCACTTCAGCTTGAAATCCTGTCGGCCTTTTGTCCTAGACCTCGGATTAGTGTATTTTATTTCGTGCATTCAGTTGACTTTAACATTTCATTTTGAGCTCAATTCAAATTTATTTGCTAAAAGGACAGCAAATAATGCTCTCCACACAAGAAAAAGAAATGGCGCGAAAAAACGTTAACGACTTCTAGCTTCTCAAGTGGCATCTAATTGTTAAATTTCCCTACAGAATAAAAAAACTAATACTAATAGGCTTTTGATTTTTTTCCAGCTTTAATAGGCTTTACCTCCAGCTTTAACCAAGCCCTAGGTGTCCTTTAACGAACAAAATTTTGGTTCACCTATCTTTTTTTAACTCCTCGTTTTTTTTCAACTCATCTTTTTTATGATTGTGTTGTATTGCAAGTGGTGCGAAGCTCCGCTTCGCATTTGTGTAACAAATATCAGCAAGCGATCCAATTTTATCAATTTTTTTTAGGTTTAGAAAGGTTTAACTGTTTAAAAATGGAAGATGATGCTTACACAAAACAATTTTAATATATTTTTTTATTGAATAGGCCAAGCAACAGCAATCGTTTATGGGGAAAACTGAGTCAAGAAAAATCAATCGGACTAAATTTATTTCTAATAAAGCTTAAATCAAATGATCAAATATATGATTATTAGTAAGAGATTTTATGGAAAATTTACTGGCAATTTGCGTTTCTTTGATCAATACTATTTCAGCTAATTTAACTACTTCAGGCTCCATTTTAGCAATGTTTTTGGCATCGGAGATCATGCTTTCTTTTTCAGTGATAAATTGAAATCGATGTCATTTTGAGCAAAATTTCACAAACACCACCAAAATTTTAAATGGAGCGTGAACATGTTTTCAGATTTTGTTCAGAAAATTTTTATTTAACGCCACCTTGAAAAAATGAAACTCATGTTCATTTACGCTAGCATCTGGGATCCTCCGGTACCTATTGCTCACCTTTGTACCAGATACTGATTTCAAAAACTCAAAACTCTACTCTAACGGGATTAGCTTAGCTCGCCGAGCAAATACAAGTAGGAATAAGAACAGGTTGCTGTGCAAATAGCATATAAAAACCGACCTACAGAAAAACTCAATAAAAGAGCTTTTTTTTAAAAAAAAAATTGGGTCGCTTTTTGTTCGTGGTTCGATGAGAAAGTCTAAACAAAAATCTAGAACTTAGTCATTTTCAAAAGCATTAGTTAAAAACATAGTTTCGACAGGTTTTCATCAAAAAAGCAAAATAAAAAAATGAAAAATTTGAAAAATTTTTTCTTCATTTTCTTGCAGAATTTTTTTAATTAAAATTTTCTGAAAAAGGAGCTTAAAGAAACTTCGAAAACTAAATTAAACGGATTCAAATTGTTTTTTCACAGCTTAGCTTGAAGTATAATAGGTGATTATTTTAAGCCTATTATAAGATCTACTCGCTCGCTTTACCCGCGAAATTAGACTAAAACTAAAAAAAATTTAAGCCGGTTTTCTCAACACTGCGATTTTTTTGGTGTCGGACATTCTAACTTGCCTTTGAAATAGTTAATTATTTCGGAGTAAGCTTCAAAAAAAATGAAATTAAAACTTGAACGATAAATTGAACTTTGATTAACTTAGGATTTCTCTTTAAAATATATGCGATCTCGATAAATAAGCCTCAGTGCAACCCTTCGACAAGATTCAAACAAGCTTGAGACAAGATTAGAGAGGAAAAATAGAAATCAGAAAAGTAGATTCGACGAAGAACGCGGTGCTGTAGCATTTTTTCAGCTTAGGCTGTGCCTTAGTAGTCAATGTGTAGAATTTGGAAAATGATCTCCTACAGACAGTTGAATGATGAACTACAGACGGCAAAAACGCTTTCGTTTGAGGGAACCCCATTTCAAATGAAAGAAGTTTTCAATGGAAATTTAAAAGTTTTTGCTGTGTATGCGAAGTTCAAAAGATCTGTGAACTTTTTCCATTTCGGAAATGCAAATACAGAAGTCATATGAAGAAGTCCAGTGATACAGTATCTTGAAGCCTTTTCAGTCGTGATTCGAATGATTTAAAGATACTGTATCACTGGACTTCTTCGGATGACTTCTGTGTTTGCATTTCCGAAATGGAAAAAGTTCACAGATCTTTTGAACTTCGCATACACAGCAAAAACTTTTAAATTTCCATTGAAAACTTCTTTCATTTGAAATGGGTTTCCCTCAAACGAAAACGTTTTTGCCGTCTGTAGTTCATCATTCAACTCTCTGTAGGAGATCATTTTCCAATTTTTCCTCTCTAATCTTGTCTCAAGCTTATTTGAATCTTGTCGAAGGGTTGCACTGAGGCTTATTTATCGAGATCGCATATATTTTAAAGAGAAATCCTAAGTTAATCAAAGTTCAATTTATCGTTCAAGTTTTAATTTCATTTTTTTTGAAGCTTCGAAACAATTAACTATTTCAAAGGCAAGTTAGAATGTCCGACACCAAAAAAAACTTGAAAACGAAGCTAGACCTCAAGTTTCAAAATAAAACCCACAGAAAGTTGGAAAAGAGTCAAGGAACGGATTTGGAACTGAGTGTACTGGCCACCCTACCTTTACACTTGCGTTTCGATAGTGGAGTTTCGAAACAAAAAATCATCACGATCTATGAGTCTGAACTACGTTCATCGACTTCTAAATTTTATTGGTCCACTTTCACAAAATGAAGAAGATTGATCAAAAAAGTATCAATCTATTCTATTAACTGGATGCGCTTCAAGGTTGCATTTCAACTTAAGGTCATCATGTTCAGCGTGAATTTTAATAGTCGAGAACACCTTCAAAACAGGCGTACCCCCAGGATTTCTAGGCTTCGCCAATCTTAATGATTACCACTACCCCATATTGCAGGGAATTCCTTGATATTCGCGTATGCTTACCATGTGAATTACGCCTTTATAGGGGTGCAAATGTGTTAACAGGCGCCGTAGAGGGGGAAAACTACAGAAAGTAAAATGTATTAAGAAATATTTGTGGGTTAAGAATCGAAACACTGTGGGAAAAGGCTTATCGAATCTAATAAGTTAAAACAAAAATACAGTGCATCAAACTTAAACGCATTCTGAAATCGCCAACTAATTAGCAATGATCAGGGCTCAATTTCAACTCTGTTATGATTTCCCGAGATACCAAAGATGCACTGTATTTCATCAGTTGGGTCTTTGACCCTCGGTTTTTTGTTTGCTTGTTTTATCTGTTTTATTTCTTGCCAGTCCTGTTCGATCAGGCGTCGCTGTTCGAAGCTACAAGAGGCGATTTCATCTGGTTCAGTTCTTTGTTTTCCTTGGTAGCTGACCCCTGTGCACTGTTTGTGGCTACAGTAGAAGAAGCACCGGATGCTATGGATGCTGAGGAGGATCCTCCGTTAATGGCGGCTCTTGTCTGCTTCATGTACTGCTGTCTCACTTCTCTCAATACCTTCAGGAATCTCTCGCGACTGCCGAACAGCTGGTGGTTGCGCTGGAACCACTCGTTGATCACGTTGTCTGAAATCAAAATTCGTCGTCTCTTTAATGTCTAAGGAGGACTCGGCTAATCAAATTCGTCGAAACAAAAAACATAGCCACCTGACAGTCGGAATTTTCCATAGAAAAACAATCTAACTTGTTTTTTTTCAAAAATCTCCAACTTTTGAATTTCGAAGAAAAAAATAGATAGCCTTAAAGCTCTTTGAAATTGTAGAACAATTTATGATGGACAATTTTTTGTTAAAATTAACCCATTTTGACAAAACTGGATCAATAGGTAAAACTTTTATTTCGCTGGGAAATCTGATAATTAATTTCCATTTTCGAAATTAGACGTCGATCACATTTTTTGTGACCTTTACCCTTCTGCTGTTCGATAGTGGAGTTTGCCTTCCTTTTAGCAAAAGAAATGCAATGAACTTTAAAAAAAATCACAAGTCAAACCGCGAAAAATCAAAATTGAGCGTGAACACATTTTAAAGACTTTTTCCTGAAAAAAAAATCAGAAAAACCTATATAAGAGTCTCCACTAAGTTTATTACTCTTAAAAATTGTCAAAACTTTACTATATCATTTACGTAATAAGGATAATTTACCATTCGGGTAGAGCTCCTTCGAGATCAATTCAAACGCAATCGCCCTTCGCCTAGTCAAAAGTTTGTTCGAGTTCGCGCTGGCTCCATTTGGCTTTCCGTTGTTCTTTTCGTCCACTGAAAGCAGATCACAACGTTGAGTAATGACTATTCCATAAAATTGTTTGATGACAATGCGTAAATAAAATATTAATAATCACCGAGTTTCAAACGATTAAACTTTAGTGTTACGTTACCTGGCATTCCATTGGAGTCGGCCAACGGAGTCATCTGTTTAACATTTTCGGTTAGCGCCACAGAAGCTGCAGTGGATGCCATGTTTCCAGAAGTGGACTGCTTCCTCTGCATTTCATCGCCGGATCCGCATGCCACCTCACTTCTCGCATCAACACCCGCTGCTGGAAAAGAATAATGTAAAAGTCCCAATTACTAGATTTTGCTTTTTTCGGATCCCGATTACTAATTTCAATGCTTTTTGAGATTTGATATAATCTTTTCTTACTTCAATGAATGGCTATTTAGAAGAGTTACTTATTGAAGAGTTATTTCTGACTTAGTAATTGATAATAGTAGAAATAGTCATCTTTCCAATAACAGCAGCAACGTTTCAGCTGTTATGGGGAAAGTCTCTCAGGTATCTCCTCTCACTTGCGCTGAAGACATGGAACGAAGAGTACCTTGGTAAGATCCTCTTCGTTTTCGAGGGTAGAGGGAGTCCACGGTGACAGTGTCTGCAATCTGCTTGTTCAGATCCCCCAACATCGTCCTCGAAGACCTCCCTGGCAGTTTGGAGAACTTGGTTGTAAAGTCCACTTCCTCCAACATCCTGGCAGCAGAACAAATTCCATGGTCAAATATTAATACTGACCAGTCAATTTTTGACATACTCAAAGTTGTCTATCACAGTAGAATCTTCATCCTCTGTATTTCATTTGATATGTACAAATTCCAGACAGTTCGCATTAAACAAATTCCAACGAACCTTACCACAATTGACTTATCAACCGAAACGAAGTGAGATTTTTACGACTTACATCCTATTATGAAAATTTGAATCTATTTCTCACTTTTCAACATTTGCATTTTGGTTTCTGAAGCTCACAGTCACTTCCTGCTTAGACTTGTCCGACAAATCGCCCCCCTTTTCCTGCTGTTGCTGTGTCACCGTTGTATTCATTCGAAGATCTTGGGGCTCGTGGTCCACTTCTATTAACTCGTCTTCCATCTCTGATTCGTTCATTCCTTTGCAGTCCTGAAATAGAACTCTTATAGAAATAGTATTCTTTATACACTCAGATCGGCCGCCCATAACACTTGTGGTTCAAAAAATCAACAATTAAGACATGCACGTAGCAGCATTTAGCAAACTTTAAATTTTTCAAATGAAAAACCAACTTGTACCCTAAAACCGACAGTAATTTAAAAAGAATTGAGAAAAAAACTTTTTTGATTTTTTTGGGACTATGGTCGGAACATTCTGTGCTTGCTATTTGTACAGCAACCGGCTATCCTTGTTTAGATCATTGAAAATGGGGAGGAATTTTGTATTTGGGTATTCAGTTTTTGTTCCGACCGTTGAAAATGGGGAGGAACTTAGTATTCGGTTGTGTTTTGAATTTTTTGTTTTCCGCGCAAAATCAGCTACCAAAAATAATAATCGGACTGTGTTGAGTGATATATCATAATAAAGCCCTTTCAGTCGTGATTCGAACGACATTCAAAAAAAATTGAGTAAAACCCGTTTGAACTTTTTGATTTTTGGTCTAATTTCGAGCGAAGAAATCGAGCGACCAGGCTTTTTATGCTTAATTTAGGCCGTTTACAATAGCTTATTTGTGCCTAATTTTAGTTTCACTCGAGTAAAATTAGTTTTTGAAGTTTTATAACGCGATTTTCAGCGAAATTTTCAGATTTTTAATGACTTTTTTGTTTTTCTACTCATTTTTCCACAAAAACTGTTTTCCAATTTGCCTATTTTACTGTGACGGTCGCATATGCCTAAGTTCTAGTTTTTCATTCAGATCCTTTTATCGCACCACGCAGAAAAAACGAAACGGACTTGAATTTTTTTTGTATTTTTTAAGACTATGGTCGGAACATTCTGTGCTACTTGCACAGTAACCGGCTATCCTTTTATTGAATATGTTATTAATTAATCGAAACGCAATCAAAAATTTTTCGAGAAAATATTAGATCCACCCCTGCAATTAACACCAACTCTTCATTTAATTGGCAATTAAAGATTACTGATCGAGTCGAGTCATTGGGCCCAGAAACGGAGGTGATTTTTTTCTAACATTCAAGATAACGAAACATACTTTTGGCGAGGATTCGACACTCTGCTGCTTCGTTTGTTTCACACCTGCAGGTCTTGTGCATGGTACGTTTGCAAGGGGCGCCTTCACAATTCGGGATCCATTGGGTTCAGCGGAAGTACAACTGGTGCTGCAGCTACTGGGACTGTCTGATATGAAACCCTTGTTTGAGCCTTTGGGCGAGCGAGAGGAGGGTTGTTTGGTGTGAGACGATGACTTGATGGAAATTTCAGAGTCGTCGATTTCCATCGCCAGCTAGACAAAAATAAAATTTACTCAAGTACAACAAATCTGAAGAATGCCTAACTTGTCCTCTTATGATCAAATAAGATAATGATCAAACTGATGCTATCTTATTTTATCTTAAGTTGGCCAGCTCATGATATTTCCCAATCCCCACTCAAGATTCCCCCTAATTGGCAGAATCCACTACGATCACACAATCTTGCCGATAAAGCTTTGCTAGAAAACAACGCAGATTTATTAGCGATCAAGTAATTGGCGTTGAAATGGTGACTCACTGCTCTAGAATTTGAAGCAGAGTTCTCCAGGCCAACTGAGGATGACTTTCTGTCCCCGTAGAGCGTCCTTGGGTTGTAAGGCTTCGCAAACGTAAGCAAACCTGTAGGACAGGGCGTGTTCACCATGTGTGAATACCCAGAGCTAGTCTGATCACATTTCCTGTGTGAGTCGCTGAGAGACATGGAAACGCCGCGAGAATGAGCCTCTCGCTCTTTGTCAGTTCTGGCCATCTGACTATATGTCTGAGACAGTTTAGATGTTCCTAGTTGCTGAGACAAAAGCGAACCGCTACTTCTGTTGATGTTACTGCTGCTATCAACCGAGTAGGTCCTACTAGTCCTCGGCAAACTCAAGTTTTCTGCTCGTTGCAACATCGACGCAGTATGGTCGGCGAGTGGTTTGTACTGCGGTAGACCCATGCCCAGTGTTGCATCTACAGCTGGACTGGCGTTCAGATGGTTAGCGCTACGTTTAGCCGAAGGCTCTCCAAATAAACCGGCGTTGAGCAAGCTAGCTGCAGACAGCGAACTGGCAGAAGAAGTTAACTGATTGGGAAAGTAAGGCATGGAATCGTTGAATGCTTTGGAGCTTCCGGTTAGTAACTCGGATGCAGTTTTAGGCAATGATGCAGAGGCCACGGACTGGAGCAAAGCTCTCATGTAGATATCATTGGTTGCCGACTGCATCTGACTCACCAACTGGTTCTGTAGTCCCATTTGATGGAGTCCCAGAAAGGAAGACATTGCCAGGGGGTTAGCAGCTGCAGCGTAGGATGCGGCGGCCGCGTTCATCTGTTGCAGAGAAGATAAAGGCCCTCCTCCATAACTGCTGCTCCTCATTCTTTGGAACTCCTTTGCTTTGATATCGGCAAGACTCTCAGTCGGTACTCGAGATGAGTTCCCATTGAGCTTCGGTGTACTTGAAGATGTTACGTCATCGACTATTACGTCATCATCGTCAAAATCAACATTGGGCAGTCCATCTACGTCATCTCCATCGACACTTAACACCGACTGCGATCGTCCTTGAGGCGTAGCCGGATTGAACTGTTCGCTTTGTTTCGAAGAGTAGAGTTGCACGTTTGGTTGCTTGCCACTGTTCGTAGATGCTTCTTGGTTCAAATCGTCTTCAGCCAACTTGCTTCCACTCTTCGATTTTCGCTTTTCTTTTTTAGCTGAGGAGTAGCGCATGTCTGGGTATTTCTCTTTGAATTTTTCTTTGATCTGTAAAAAAAAACTTTAATTTTAGATCTTAAAATCTATCAGACTCATAAAAGCTCAAAAACCGCAATTTCGTCCGTTAAATTTGATCTGTTTTCTAATTACCATTTTATTTTTTGTATAACTTTCTTACATTTTCATTCATGACAGCTAATACGTTCGAATACGACTATGAAAGAACAGTCTTAGAGAAAAGAAAAAGTCGGCGCTAATGATATCTATGAGTGTACCTCTTGGGCAAGCTTCTGATAGGACTGCTTCTCGTCCTCTGGCAACGAGTACCACATTTCTCCCAGCTTCCGTGATATTTCCCTGTTGTCCAGGCCTTTGTTCTCCTCTTGCACTCGCTGTCTCTGCCGCTTGCTGAACACCATGAACGCATTCATCGGTCGCGGAATCTTCTCCTCGGAACCCGTCAGATGCGACCTATCCTCCGCACTAGACTTCGATCCCTAATTACACAACAACACAAATTAGTGTTTATTAATTTCATTTCATCAACCAGATTTTATGACAAAACCTATAAGGTCCATCTTTATAAAATTAGGAACTATTATCCTAGTGCATTCACCGAATGGTATCAAAACTGATCCATGTACGTTGTCTGCCGGCGAGCCAATAATTCTCAGCCCAGAAATTCAGCCAGAAAATGCAGTAGTTCTTAAGCCGTGGAACAACATCGGTTTGATCCTTTCCCTCGTGAATAAATAGTCTTAATACTTGAAAAAACTAACCCAAATATAAATTTCATTGGTCAAATAAACTAACTTTTCTTCTGTTCAGTTATTTTTCTTTAAAAAAAAACATCAATATTATCGAGGTAAGAAAAAGAATTGACCTCTTCTTCCTCGATTGGGGAGAAAATATCTTTGCAATTACGGGAGGAAAAATCGACCTTCATTTTTCGATTGAAAAAGTAAATATCCAATTGGCATCAAAATACCTTTTTGCGATTGTTTATACAACTGGTTGAGAAACTGCGTCTTTTGATGGCTCCGATCGAAGAAGAACATCCATCGGCTGGGAGGTCCACTCCGAAGCCGACCAGAGGTCTCCTACTGAGGAGCAGCTGGCGCGCCTGTTCCGCAGACTGCATGCTCACGTCCAGGGGCGAGCCAGACTTAGCGAGGGTGGAAGAATGTGACTCATCAACCTCATTCACTGGAACAACAGATAAAAATCAGTTTTTTAAGAATCAGATATTTGCAGATCTGGAGTTCGCAAATAGAGGACTCGAACCCATGACCTGCTACTTCACTTCGGTCACGGCTGGAGGGGTCCCAGTGTCATCCGCCTACTCAAGGTGGGACCGGCTGCGGCAAAATGGATGACATCTCCCCCTCCCCCACGGTTGGTCCTGCACTGAGCAGGCCGGGGGCTAAAAAAAAAAAAAAAAAAAAAAAAAAAAAAAAAACCTGCTACTTCACAGTCAAACACAGTGTACCACTAGAACGCTGATTTTGATCAATGAATTACCTCCAATTACCCAGTTGAAATTTAGGGAACCAGGTAAATTGAATCACTGACCAGCAACTATTTAAATGCTGTGGTACAATCCTAAAAACAATCAATATGCTCTTTATGCAAGGTTAAAAAAGCGAAATGGTTAAGACACCGAGTCAGCCAGCTATGCGCTTATAGTACAAAATTCAATACTTAAAAAGGTACAAGTATGACTGTTAGGTCCTCGAAATATAGAATTATCACTCAAGAGAAAATTTTATTGGCCTTAAAATTTTGGGTAACAGTAAGTTCTTTTAACCGACCCATCATTCATACTTGCTTTTTACAGGGACGACCCAATAATCAGATTTGTACCTTTTTAAAAGGGTCTACAGTATTGAAATTTCTATAAAAAAAATACACTCACTTGTATCTGTAAGGTCCTGCTGCGTGTTTCCTGTGCCTGGATCTGTCGACATACAGTCCGAGACAGCCCCTGTGGGATCCACGCCGTCCATAACTGCAGTGTTGCATTCTATCACTCCTCCGCTACCTCCACTATCTACTGCTGTCTGAACACTACTACCCGATGAGGACTGACCAATAACAGAATGTCCATTCATCATCACTCCGTTCATTTGGTTCTGTTCTGTAGACACAGATCCCGACGGTCTGTGAGGCGCTGCAACTCCTGCGCTGTTTGTGCTCTGCGTTTGTTGGTTTCCTCGTTCTGAAGGTTCACTAAGGTCACATCGGTTGAAGAAGGGAACCAGAACGTGCCAGGGGTATATCGAGGCCTGCTCTGGATGCGCATTAAGCCACACTAAAACAAAGCAAAAAATTAGTCATACAACAACTTACAAACCTATTCTTAAACAAAATTCTAATTAACTTGACGAGCCACAAAAAAGTGGTTATTTGCCTCATCCGGTATATTTTTGGTTCATAGATCCGAGCTAGAGAACTGAGAGTGAGAAAACATTACCAGGTACAGAAAAATTACCAAAGAAAATATCTGAATCAGCAGCACAACAGCCAGCGAGTCTCAATAAACAGCTTGTATATTTGGGTCTCTTCCTTTTTAGTTAACCAGCCAGAGGCCTAACCCGAAGGTTAATTAATTAAAGATTAATTTTCAGATTTACCTTTGTACATAGATAAACTGAACTATGCAAGGAACCCAAAAGCAGTTCTATATAGGCCTGAACATCGTTTATGCTGTTTTTCCTCTCGTGAATAAATTTTAAAAAAATCCATCGAAAGACAAAAACTTTAATTACAACTTACTTGCTAACATTGTAGATGAATAATTTGACAATGGCGAGGGAAATCGGCAAATAGGATAAACTTAAACTTAAGCAGAGGTATTCTTGATCATTAATATTGTGCTTTAACCTCTTGTTTTGTTTCTGCAAAGACCAATAAAATGTTCTGATTCTGTTTCACTTCAAGTTATATTATTTAGCCTATCAACGAAGCTCAATAAATTAGAAGTAATAGGTCGTTCGTTGCTGATATGACAACCGCCGCTATCAATGTGAATCAGTCTTATTACAAATAACCGCTACGAAATCTTATGATCTTGCCGATTACGATGACTCGTTTCGAACAATTCTAGATTGGAGCTCTATGTATTGATGTAGTCTAGACACAATATCACAGTTTTCTACGAGTCATGCGATGCGAGGCTAGTAAGTTATGTTGACTTGTGAACAAGTTATAGGAATAAGATTGTTCAGCGCTGCGTGGGTCACTTCCTGGTTCCCTAAATGTCTCGAAAGAACTGGCGTTTTTGTCCAGGTCCAGCCGGAACGGAACCCCAAGAAAGAAAAGCTAAGTGTGCTTTGTTTTGACTCAATGTTTGATACTTGACAAGCTTCTAGGTCAGCTTGCGTTTTCGTTTATCTTATCAAAACAACTCAGAGAGAGCAAAAAGCGATTGACGCATTAAGCAAGCATCCACTTCATCAAAAGCAGTCCAGATATGGCGTCCGGATATTAAGCTTAACAAACAGTTCCCTGGCCCGTTTGTTCTATTGTATGGTCTCTTTCTACTTAGCGCCCATTAATTGACGTATTAATCTATTTGTTAGTAACTTAATGGTTGCCTAAGAATACTTCATAAACACATAAGGCATCTCATTTCAAGAAAATTTTCGAAAGGAAGCTCTACCATAAACTTATCGAAGAATGCAAACTTAATTTTACTTATTTTTTATATCACTTTGAGAAAAAAGTTTGATGAAAAGACCACATAGACGATGACACCTTTTGGTTGGCAAAAGTTTTGGAGCAAACGACATGAAAAAACGGCAAAATTTCACCTGACTGCTAAAAAAAACTTTTCTCAGTTAAAGTTGACGAAAAACTCACGCATCAAAGACATACGAGTGCACAAAAAATGCAGTTCAAAAAATGAAAATATTTGTCCCCCTCAGGGATTGATCCCCTGACAACCTAAAGGGTCGAAACCCTTTCAAAAAACAGGTGAAGAGCATTTGGTCAACTTGCTCGACCTAAAAATTTTAAATTTTTTTGCAAATTTCCCCTTGAGAAAATTCGAAATCCGCCTCTTATTTGGGAACTGTTGAACGTTGCCATGGCGAAAAAGAGAAGGGTTCACTCTATCAATTTTAACATTTCGTTTCGGATTAACCGTACTATTTCAATTATGTTTGGACACTTAAATTTGTTAAGTAGGTGATATAAACGTGAGGCGACAATTCGTAACAGCGGACAATTCGTACAGGCAATAAATCGTAACAGTAGATTAAGCGCCTGTTACGAATTGTCGCATCTTAGGAACTGTGGCAAGTTACGAATTTTCGTTTTCGCCCTACCGATATAACATTTTCTCAAAGTTATCTGGAAAAATTTGCATTTTCTCAATCCCCCCCCCCCAAGCAATTGGGGGGGGGGGGGGGGGGGGGGGGGATGAGGAACAGTACGGTTGATTCTTTGCTTCTTGTAGATTTGTAGATAATCATCTGCCACGAAACAGCTTTCAGTTTGCACAATTCAACGAAAAATCTGAGAACTGCTTCGAAATTGATGATCTGAAACGTTTCATTGTATCCCGCAAAAAATTGTGAAATTAGAAGTGTCATTTGCAAAATTGAAAAGTACTAACATAGCGAACGCGAACAGACAGGGAGCATGCAATAATTGCTTTGATTAGGTGTTCATTCGGACAAAAACCCTATCTATCCTATAACTATATTAGAAAATAAATTGATTTCATTTCCGACCTATTAATATTCGACAAGAATTAGGCTGATACCTAAGAAGTGAAGCTTTGAAAGGAAAAAAAGGAACATCAAAATTGTAATCAAGCTTTCCAGAAAATTGAAAACGCAAGACTGAACGTGTTTTCGTCAACTTCAAAGAGATAATTATCACAAAAATTTTTCATTAAATTTTTTTGTCTGCCTTTTTCGACATCAGAGAGTATCAATGCGCAGTTTTTATTTCAAATTTGATCTTTTGAATGAATTTTGAGAATTAATCTTGGCTAATTTTAAGTGAACAAGTTTGTTTCATTCTCCTGGTGCGTATTTTGAGCTCCTCTTAAAAACTTACTATGAAAATTAAACTTTTAAACAAAACATTGCCAACACACAGTTGGAAACGAGCCGATAGAGCAAAAAAAATGGTTTGAGAGCCTTTTAATTTCAAGAAATAAATTTGTTAATTCCGCAAAACATCGTTTAGTTTTTTCTCATAATTGATCAATATATTTTTGCCCTCAAGCTTAATTTCTGAACATAGCCAACAGACAGCTGGAAATGAATCAACGAACGAAAAAAAACTGCCTTGTTTTTTTTTTGGAAAAAATTATCAATTTTCGAACTTCAAAGAGAAAAATAGTTGCCTTCAAGCTTAATTTTTGAGCATAGCCAACAGACAGCTGGAAATAAATCAATGAACGCAATTAAACCGAAAAAAAACTGCCTTGTTTTTTTTTTGGAAAAAATTCTCAACTTTCGAACTTCAAAGAGAAAAACAGATGACCTTAAAGCTCTTTGAATTTCTAGAACCTATTTTGGTTGACAGATTTTTGATTTAAAAAATAATCCAATTTAAGAAAACTGGATCAATGTGTAAATTCTGCTGAGAAATCTGAAAATTAACATACAGTTTCGAAACTAGAAGTCAATCACACTTTTGTGACCTTTACTCTTTTACTGTTCGATAGTGGAGCTTGCCTTCCTTTTAACAAAGTAATGAACTGATGTTAAAAACTAATCAGAAGTCGAGCCGCTTGAACAAATTGTAAGACTTTTTCCTGAAAAAACAATCATCACGACCTATATAAAAGTCTTCACTACGTTCATCGACAAAATAGGCATGAAAAAACTTTTTTTTTACAAAAAAAAAACAAAACTACTTGTAGTCAGTTGGAGATTTTTAGGATGCGTTGTACGTCATCCTGGAGAAATGAACCCTTACACCACTTAATGGGCCCCTCTTCGGTACTCTTTTGCAACAGCCATTACTGGCTGAATAAATCTAAAAATCTTCTAAACGCACGGCTGACGTCAAAACAAACTGTTTTAGAACGGAGAGCGCGAGCCGGATGTACCACAATGAGAGACAGGTCCTTAAAGAGTAACCAAGACTTTCGCCAAAATGCCTAGAGCTCCCATCATTCCAGATAAGGGTACAAGTATGATAATTGGGTCCCAAAAATTAAGATGCGTCCCTGAACAAAAATTTTTAGGCCTTAAAAACTTCGAAAACATGTTTCGCATTTGCTCATCTGTGTTTTTGAAGACGTCAAAAAAATTGCGAGACTCAACTATCATACTTGTACCTTGATAAGTTCATTTTATGGTATGGGCAGAGATAGAAAAATTCGAAATGCCTAATTTGTAAAAAAAAAAAAAAAAAAACGTTTACCACATAATAAGGATGTGCGATTTACCGAGTGCTAATCGACAACCGATTGAGGCCTTGTTAATCAATCGAAGGCTGCTACATAATCAGCCACAGTCCGGTTATCGATTTGTAAATTATCTTTAGTTAATTCGATAAAAGCTTATTGCGGATAATTCATAATTGAATCTAGGCCCAGGCTTGACTGGGGCTAACACCACTCGGTTTTCCTTAAGAAATAATTTATTTACGATCGATCGGGGACCCATCTTAATTTTCTTCAGGGACCCATCTTTATCCTAAGAGACCCGACTGTCATACTTGTACCGAAGATTGAATTACAGAAACCTGCCGCAGGTCATTCAGACATCACAGAACGAAGAGATACCAAGTTATTGTACATTGTCGTAAAATTCACCCAGTAGTTGACGTTTCCTACTAAAACGAGCTACAGAAAACGAACGAGAAAACGAAAAGATTGCATTTGAAATATTAAAAAAAAACAGAATCAGAACAATTTTCATACTTCGGCAAAATCACGAAAAACGAGCTCTTGCTCTTTCTATCAGTCAGAAAGTAAAATATAGACAAAGAAAAGTAAAGAATAAAATAATATCAAACAATAGAAATTAATGAGTAAAATGAAAACTAAATGAGAATTAAGAATGAAGACAGGTATTTTTTATAAATTGCTTCAATAAGAACTGAGAAAAGAAGACGACTGAACTATTTAAATTTACATCAAATTGAGAAGGAAATCCAATTCAACCGCAACTGACCCGACAATTCACTAATACTGCCGCAACACAAGCAAGTAAGTCTGGGGCCGTCCAACTTAACTTGAAATCAGCGAGTCAAAATTAGATTGAAATGCTAGGAGAATTTAGAATGCAAATTGCAATGCGAGGGCTTTTCGTGTCAAACGCACAAAAAGGGTTCTTGTTTTCA